TGCCAGGGGAACAATGTAGGCCTGAGAAGGGTGGGATGAGGGAGAGATGGGGAGTGGGGTGACAGCAACCAGTAATGACAGCTGTGCTTGCTGTGCCCAGGCCCTATGTTGTATTAGCTCTGTGCCAGACACTTTACTACTTGAGTTTTCCTCAACTGATGGGTAAGGAGTTATGATGCCCATTTTGCAGATTAGAAAACTGAGGCTGGTAACTGGGACTTATCTGATGCCCTTGCTTTTCAAATCCTGGCTTTGAAGCCCCTCCGTGGGCTTCAGATTCAAACCCTGCTACACGATTTACTCACCATGTGACTTTGGGAAGGTAACTGTTCTCTGAGCCTCACTTTTCCTCTTCTGCAAAATGGGATTCTCATCCCTACCTCACAGGACTGCTGCTGTAAAAATCATACATGGAGATTGCTCAGTCCTGGGCGAACTTGGCACATGAGGAAATGCCATCGAACAACCTTATCCGCCGCCAGGGACTGCTTTTGTCCTGTATCTAGTTCTCTCTGGTCCCAAAGAGGTGTTCCATAAATATTCTCAGAATAAGCAAATGGCTGAAGAATGTGAGTAGAACCGTGAGTGGATTAAAAATTCATTAGCAACTAGTTATTGAGCATCCATTCTGAGCCGGGCACTAGGGAGATCACATTTCAGGGGACTGACCGCACAGATGGCCCCGCCCCTGTGGAGCTTTCATTCTCGCTGGGGAGACAGACAGTCTTCAAGCTCCGTGTGCTGGATGCTAGCTGGTGTTACGGCCCGTGGAGAAAAATCCATCAGGGAAAGGGGCTGAGAGGTGCTTGGTGAGTTTGATAGAGTGGTCAGGAAAGGCCTCACTGGGAGGTGATCGGGAAATAAAGACCTGAGAAAAGTTACCTGGGGAAGGCCATTGAGTGGAGGGGACAGCTAGTACAAACGCCCCGAAGCAGGACTGCAGAAAGGCCGTGTGGCCAGAGCAACAATTGAGGCAGAGAGGATAGCAGATGATTTTCACGACATAACGGAGGGGCCGGCTCGTGCAGAGTCTGGAAGCCCATGGAAAAGGCTTTGCCTTTCTCAGCCAGAGCTCACCTGAGCCACAGACGGCAGAAGTGATTCAAGTGATGATTTGCTCAGTTTTCCCGAGATCGGGCGGCAGTTTGGATCCCAGGGAGAGGAGTTCATGGATGATGGGCAGTGGCTGCCCGAGGGCGTTAGGGCTCTGATCTTGGGAGCCCCGGGTGAGAGGCTGCTGCGTTATGTTCAGAGCAGGACGGGGCCAGGTGCACATCCTTCTGGCAATGCAGAGAATAAGCAGGCCCTGGGAGGGGCGGCCTGGAGGCCTGTTAGGTGGCATTGCAGGCTTGGTGGCGCCTGTGACGGGTGGTGAGAAGAGGTCAGGTGTATTTTGAAGGTCGAGTCCACAGGATTTGTTGAGGGATTGAATGTGAGTTGCGAGGAGAAGAGGGACAGAGACATCTAGGTTTTTAATATAAGCACCTGGCAGGATGAGGTTTCATTCATTTGTCCAGAAAATACCTTTAAGGTGCCTCCTCTGTGCACTGCTTCATAGGACAGTGAACCAAACAGACAGCGACCCTCCTGCGGGAGGTGACATGGAGTGAATAAACTTTTTGTCTTAAGGCCGACATGGTGAAGATGGGAGAAGGGCTAGACAGATAGAGGACAGTTCTGTGGTGGGCAGGACTGTTCTCTCACCAAAGATGGGACATCAAGGCTTCTTGGGGCTTCCTGTGGCCACCTTGCAAGCAGCTCTTGTTCCTGTGTGTTCCCATGGCCTGGTGTCCATGTCTCCCTCAGTTTGGGAGCTTCTCTCCCAGGAGGGCCCGGGCCTGGCTTGGCACCAGCTATGTGCCATGGCCATGTCTTAGGGCCTCTTGGGGGAGCCGGGATACAGAGGAGGTCTGCCCGTGGGTTTGTCGCCGTGTCCCAACCCCAGCCTGTCTCCCCTGACAGCGGCTGATCGACAAGACCAAGGTGACGTATCTGAAGTGGCTGCCTGAGTCGGAGAGCCTGTTCCTGGCGTCGCATGCTAGTGGCCACCTGTACCTATACAACGTCAGCCACCCCTGCGCCTCAGCCCCGCCCCAGTACAGCCTCCTGAAGCAAGGCGAGGGCTTCTCCGTCTACGCTGCCAAGAGCAAGGCGCCCCGCAACCCTCTGGCCAAGTGGGCGGTGGGCGAGGGCCCCCTCAACGAGTTTGCCTTCTCGCCCGATGGCCGGCACCTGGCCTGCGTCAGCCAGGACGGCTGCCTGCGTGTCTTCCACTTCGACTCCATGCTCCTGCGGGGGCTCATGAAGAGCTACTTTGGGGGCCTGCTCTGTGTGTGCTGGAGCCCTGATGGCCGCTATGTGGTGACAGGTGGTGAAGATGACCTGGTCACCGTGTGGTCCTTCACAGAGGGCCGCGTGGTGGCCCGGGGCCATGGCCACAAGTCTTGGGTCAACGCTGTGGCTTTTGACCCCTACACGACTCGGGCAGAGGAGGCCACAGCAGCAGCCAACGGTGACACGGAGCGGAGCGGCGAGGAGGAGGAGGAGCCTGAGGCCATGGGCACGGGCTCAGGCGGGGGCGTCCCGCTGTCCCCGCTGCCCAAGGCCGGCTCCATCACCTACCGCTTTGGCTCGGCAGGCCAGGACACTCAGTTCTGCCTATGGGACCTCACTGAAGACGTGCTGCACCCACACCCGCCCCTGGCCCGTACCCGCACCCTCCCTGGCACGCCTGGCACCACGCCGCCAGCTGCCAGCAGCTCCAGGGGTGGCGAGCCTGGCCCCGGCCCCCTGCCCCGCTCACTGTCCCGCTCTAACAGCCTCCCACACCCGGCGGGTGGTGGCAAGGCAGGTGGCCCTGGTGTGGCCACGGAGCCAGGCACACCATTCAGCATCGGCCACTTTGCCACGCTCACGCTGCAAGAGCGACGGGACCGGGGGACCGAGAAGGAGCACAAGCGCTACCACAGCCTGGGCAACATCAGCCGGGGCAGCAGTGGGAGTGGTGGCGGTGGGGACAAGCCCAGCGGCCCGGCCCCTCGCAGCCGCCTGGACCCCACCAAGGTGCTCGGCACCGCACTGTGCCCACACATCCATGAGGTGCCACTGCTGGAGCCCCTCGTGTGCAAGAAGATCGCCCAGGAGCGGCTCACGGTCCTCCTCTTCCTGGAGGACTGCATCATCACCGCCTGCCAGGAGGGCCTCATCTGCACCTGGGCCCGGCCGGGCAAGGCGGTGAGTGCCCCACGTCGGCTCGCCCGGGGCCTAGCAGGACCCTTGGTGGGAAGGGCAGGGAAGGGCAGGCATTGGCAGAGAAAGGGCATTGTCACTGTCACAGCCTCTGGCTCTGTGGGAGGAGGGGAAGTCATGGGAATCTTACCATCCCAGAATGAGACCTCGCAGATCTTAGAGTAAAGGCGCAGTCAGCAGAGGGTCGGGTGTAAGTGACAGCTGCCAGCTGCCATGGTGGGGCCCCAGGCCAGCGATCTGAAGGGCAGCCAGTAGGCCAGGCAGGGCCAGGGCTTAGTGCCGTTACTTGAAGCAGAATCTATTCTCTGCAAAATCTGGCTTTTAAATAGTGAAGCTTTGGCCGGGTGCGGTAGCTGACACCTGTAATCTGGGAGGCCGAGGCGGGTGGATTGCTTGAGGTCAGGAGTTCGAAACCAGCCTGAGCAAGAGCGAGACCCCATCTCTACTATATATAAATAGAAAGAAATTAATTGGACAATTAATATATATAGAAAAAATTAGCCGGGCATGGTGGCGCATGCCTGTAGTCCCAGCTACTCGGGAGGCTGAGGCAGCAGGATCGCTTGAGCCCAGGAGATTGAGGTTGCTGTGAGCTAGGCTGATGCCACAGCACTCACTGTAGCCTGGGCAACAAAGTGAGACTCTGTCTCAAAAAAAAAAAATTAAATAGTGAAGCTTTTTTGAGTACTTTAGGCCAAAGCCCTGGGGGCAACTATAGTGTTGAGCCTGGGGGTGTGTGGCTTCCAGCCTGGGGCTCGGCCCCTTGGGGTCCAAGCCTGCTGCTTAAGGACAGCTGGGAATCTGAGGCCTGGGTTCCTCCCACCCGCTGTGTGACCCAGGGCAAGTCACCACCCCTCTCTGATCTGCTACTAGTCACCTCTTACAACAGAGAGCCTTTAAGATGGGCAGCGGGTGGCTGTGCCTGCCTCCTGGTGGCTGTGAGGTTCGGAAGGTCACAGTAGGCACGGCACGGGCCTGGCACCTTGTGAGTGCGAAGCTTGTCTCAGATGCCTCCGTCCCTTAGCGTTGGGCTCAGGGGCCCGGATGTGAGGGCTGCAGCTCCGCTCCTGGGATCCTCGGTCGTGGAATCTAGGCCTGAGTCCCTAGAACTCAAGAGCACAGTGTCAGCCTCAGAGGCAAGGGTGTTGGGACTGGGGCAGCGGGGACGAGTCCTGAAAGACCCTCTGTCTCCCTAGTTCACAGACGAGGAGACCAAGGCCCAGACAGGGGAAGGAAGTTGGCCCAGGTCACCCAGCAAGTCAGTGGTAGAGGTAGGACTCCCCTTGAGTTCTTTCCCCCAGCATCTCAGGATCCCCCTGGAAGTCAGAAGGGGACCCAGTTTCCCCCTCCTCCTCCCCAACCCCACCCCACTGTCCGGCCAGGATCTGCTGAGGACTGTGTTCGCTGTGTACAAGTGCCGACTGCCAGGTCAGGGAAGCTAGCTGAGATGCGCGTCCCCCAGCCCAGAGCAGCGGCCTTGGGGGGTCTGGGGTGGACTGAGGGGCAAGGCCAGGGTGGCAGCAGCCTTGGGGACTCTAGGCTGGCCCCTTCCCTGTGGCACTGGCGGCAGCCCCGGTGGTCTCTAACCCGTCCTGTCTCTCCCTCTCGTCTTCCCCAGGGCATCTCCTCCCAACCAGGCAACTCCCCGAGTGGCACAGTGGTGTGAAGCCCTGGATGTCGGGGTCCCCCACCCCATGCCCCCAGCCTTCTAGCCATAACCCTCCCCGCGACCTCACGGATCAACGTATTAACAAGACTAACCATGACTGATGGACTGCTCCAGTCCCCTGCCTTGTGCAAATTTTGGGGGTCCCCCAGACTCACCGAGACACTGGGGGGATGTCGTGGCCCTTGTGGCCTCAGCCTTGTCTCCACCCACTGCCAAGTACAATGACCCTTCCTCTGAAACATCAGTGTTACCCTCATCCCTGTCCCCAGCATGTGACTGGTCATTCCTGGTGGGGAAAGTCCCCACCCATGAAAGCCCCAGCTCTCAGTGTGCCCTCAGTTGAGAGGGCAGGGCAGGGGGTGGCCCACCCCACCCGGCCCCACCCCACTTTCTTGCTATTGTCTGTGCTTTTGAAGAGTGTTAAATTATGGAAGCCCCTCAGGACCCTCCCTGTCCCCCAGGACCTCTTATTTATACTAAAGTTCCCTGTTTTCACAGCGCTCTGTTCCCTTTGGAGGTGGCGTAGAGGACGTGTGTGTGCTTTGCTGTCCCATAATCAGCCCACTTTAACCAAAGGAAGAGGGCAGGCTGCCTCCCCAGCCTGGCACCTCCCATCCCTTTTAATAGCAGAAAAGTTGAAGCCCGGGGAGGGAACGGAAGGGACGAGGGCAAGGCACAAAGCTGGTGACCGAGTGCCAGCGGGCCCTTGGGAAGGAGAAAAGCATCCCTGTCCCCACTGTCTGGAGAGGAGATGCCAGCCAGGTCCCCCCTTTGGAGTCCGGTCAAAACTGTCCAAATCTGCTACTCCAGGGGCCTGTGGGGGGCAGAAGTCCCAGTCTTTGTGTCCTGGTGCCACAGGCCTGTCCCCGCCAAGGCCCAGGCACCCGTGCCAGCTGGAGGCCGTGGTTTCCACTCGGGAGAACTGTCCACCCAGGAAAGAAAGGCCAAAATCCCTCCCTGCTGGCGCTGGGAGCTGCGGGGAGTGGTGTCTTCCTGCTCCACCCTCTGCCCCCCCTGAAATGTTTCTGTTTCTAATCCCAGCCCTGGCAGGAATGTGGCTGCCCGGCCAGGGGCCAAGAAGCTATTTTGGGGTCTCCTTTGCCTGGGGAGGGCCTTCTCCACCGCTTGCCTCCCCCAGGCTTTGGGCAGCAGGTCACCCCTGGTTCTGGCTCCTGTGGGTGTCCCCTCCCAATCCTCTCCTCACCCTCCTTTCACTACCTCCTGCCAAAAAAAGAGTAAAACAGAGGGTCTGAGGGCTAAATTTAACTGTCCCAAAGTCGGAATCCATCGCTGAGTCACCCAGAAGCTGCCCTGCCTCCTGCCCCCACCCCCAGGCTTCAACCCTTTCTCCCCCCAGATCTGGGGCTTGGTGAGAGCAACTGGGGTGGGTGGGGTGGAGGGGTACTGGATCACTCTGGGCCTCTGATTGGCCCCTCTAGGCAATGGGGGGCTTGTTTTGGAATCTTACACCTCTAGCTCTCTTCTATGCCCTGCCTTTTTGTTGGAGGGGGCAGTGTGAGGGTGAGATTCTTGTCATGGGTCAGTTCTAACCCCTGGTCTGGCACTGAGGGTTGTGCGGGCCCTGGAAGGAGGTGGGGGCTGGCTTGTGAGGGGTTAAGGCTGGGAGGCGGGAGTGGGGCTGGACCAAGGGGTGGGGAGAGAGGAGGAGGCAGCAGAGAAGTGGCCAGAGAGGCCCAGGGGACAGCCAGGGACAGGCAGACATGCGGCCAGGGCTCTGGGGCCTGGGCAGGGGCTGCCAGGCCCCGTGACAGGAGGACCCCGAGCCCCTGGCCTGGGGAGGGGGCCATGGTGCTACCTGGCTGACATGTCAGCCGAGGTGCGGCTAAGTCAGCTCCGGCAGCTGGTGCTGGACCCCGGCTTCCTAGGGCTGGAGCCCCTGCTCGACCTTCTCCTGGGCGTCCACCAAGAGCTGGGCGCCTCCGACCTGACCCAGGACAAGTACGTGGCCGACTTCTTGCAGTGGGGTGAGTGCCGGCCTGCACGGGCTCCCCCAGATCGGGTGGAGAGGCAGAGACAGAAGATGGGGCTGGGTGCAGGGGCCTGGCCTCAGGGGGGCGGGATGGACATGGGGAGATCCTCCCATTTTGGGGCCCAGGGCTTGGACTTGGGTCCTGGGGCAACATGCCCCTACTCCATGTCACCCTGGGGGCAGAGTAAGGTCAGCAGAGGCCAGGACAGCCATGACTCAGACCCATAGCATGGGAGTCACAGCAGGCTGGGCCGGGCACAGCCTCCTGTGGTCTCCTGTACCCCTCTACCCCTGAGTCTAGGCCCAGGGACCCTCCCCCTAATACGGGCGCTGTGGACCTCAGCCCTGGTTTCCCACAACACAGGCAGGCTGGGAGGGACAGCATGTGGCAGCTGCCAAGGGTGCGGCTGACGGGCAGGTGTTCGGCGCCAGCCTCTTCAGCTGCCCCAACAGGTGCCCAGGCACTGGGAGGGTGCAGTGACTCACACGGGCCCTGGGGGAGAACCAGCTCTGTAGACAGGCGCCACCAGCAGCCCTTCCGTCCCCTAGATTGAGGAGGAACGACTTCAGGTTCCTCTGGGTGTGCCTTTTTTCTCTGTAGGTCCTACAGCCTATCCCCAAAGTCTTGGTCCCTACTGGCCTGCACAGGTCAGGCTGCCATCCCCCCGGTCCCCACGCCTTGTAGTTCTGGTTCAGGACCTCCAACCTTCTAGCTGTCCCACAAAGTCCCTTCTTTTGAAGTCTTTTCAAGGCCAGGGGACAGGTCCAGAGGGAAGGTACCTCAACTTCAGCTTTCTGCCTTGTCTGCCCCCTCCCCACCCTCAGGCCAGGACTCGGGCTCATATTCCTGTCACCCCTAACACCCTGCCACTCTGGCCCTCAGTGGCTTGCTCTTGGTCTTCTGTCTATGTCACTGTCTGTCCACCTTCTGCCGCTCCCTCTTGTCTTGTGTGCATCTCTTTTGACCCAGGTCCTGCACCTCTCCCTCCTCCCCCATTTCACAGATAGGAAGGTGGAGGCCCAGGGCCAGACCTCTCCGCCTCTGCAAGAACCTTTCTCCCTTGCCCCCCAGCCTTTATGATTCTTCCAGCCTCCCTCATGTAGAGGATGAGGTCGGGCTGGGAGGGTAAACTGAGACCTGAGGTGGGGGTAGGGGTCTGGCTGTCCCGTGAGGAGCGCTCCTTTTGTGGCCTGAGCTGCATCCTAGGGCCCCTCCCCTGCCAGGCCTCTGGGGCGGGGGAGGGGGCCTGGGTTCCCGCTGCCTTAAAAGGGCTCAATGTCTTGGCTCTCCCTCCCTCCCCCGTCCTTAGGCTTGGCTGGTTCTTCCCTGCCAGCCCACTCTCCCTGAAACCCCAGAACCCCACGGGCCCCCCTCCTCCATAACTCACTCTCTGTCTTCCCTCTTTCCTGCTTACACCCATCCCTCTCTTCCATCTTGCCTCTACTTCTCCCACCCGCTAGGAGTCCAGGCCTCTCTCCCCACAATCCCTGAGTCTCTGGCCTCCACCCTGGCTTGTCCTCCTCCCAAACTGCCTTGTTTAATGTTCCTAGCTGTGGGACCTTATCCTCGGAGCATCTGTGACTAAAGGGTAGTACTAAAGTCCTCCTGGACTTGGTGGGAGCTCTTAAGTCCAGGATGGGTGTCCAGGCTGGCTTTGTCCCCTCCTGTTCCTTCCCCCAGCCCCAAATCCAGGGTTTCCCAAAGTGTGGTCCAAGAACCCCCTACATCTGAACCTGGAGGTACTGGTTACAACTGCAGATTCTGGGCCATAACCCAGGACATGCTAAATGAGAGGCTGGGAGTGGGGCCGGAGCCATCACCTGGAGCTGGGGAGGAGGGCCTGAAGCCCAGGGGGTCTAAGAGCAGGGCCTTATTTCCTCTCCCTGTTCTTCAGTGTCTCCCCCTCTGCAGACATTTGCTAGCCCACCCCCTCCATCCTGCGGCCACTGGAGCCCTATGGCCCAACGCCTTGTCCCAAAAAGGGGTTCCCAGGCATCTCACCTCTTTGGGGACCCCAAAGGGCAGTTTGGGGTCCCCAAAATCTCACAGTGTTTATGTGGGGATGTCCTTGGGAGAAAGGTGAAGCTGAGAGGCAGAAGGGAGACTAAGAGACAGAGGGTGCGACTTCTCCCAGTCTCTAGTGTCCGCCCTAGTGACCCTGGGTTCTTCTCCCCCACCCCCTAGCGGAGCCCATCGTGGGGAAGCTTAAGGAGGTCCGACTGCAGAGGGATGACTTCGAGATTCTGAAAGTGATCGGACGAGGGGCGTTCAGCGAGGTGAGCCCTGAGTGGCGGCGGGAACTGTGCCCGGCGGGAATCGGGTTTTACTTGTGGTGGGCGGGACATAGGAGTTCGGGGCGGGGCCTTAGAAATTGATGAATGACTGAACCTTAGAACCCAGGACTGGGTTGGGCTGGGGGCGGGGCTTGGGTCAGTGGGCGTGGTGCTGTGGGGGCGGGTCCACAGCTGGGTGGAGCTGGGGGTGGAGTCTGGTCTGGGAGCCCTTCTGTTTTCTCCGCCCCCTGTCACCCTGTTTCGGCCTTCAGGTAGCCGTGGTGAAGATGAAGCAGACGGGCCAGGTGTACGCCATGAAGATTATGAATAAGTGGGACATGCTGAAGAGAGGCGAGGTGAGGGGCAGGGCTGGTGTGGGGGCCCAGAGCGTTCCCCGCACTCCTCACACCTGCTGCAGCTCCTCGGGGTGCCCTGCAGGTGTCGTGCTTCCGTGAGGAGAGGGATGTGTTGGTGAATGGGGACCGGCGCTGGATCACGCAGCTGCACTTCGCCTTCCAGGACGAGAACTACCTGGTGAGCCCAGGCCAGGGTGGCCGGGAAGAGAGACAGCCGCCTACGCTGTCAGTTAACGAGGGGGCGGCGGTGGGGAGAGGAGGCTCTTGGGATTGGGAGAGCTGCCCCAAAATGCCGCGTGGTAGGGACTTGTCTCGGGTAGAAGAGGGTCCTCTTTACCTGGGAACCTGGGAAGAGATGATGTCCCTTAGTGTCTTTTCCTGGGCTAATTCTGGGGGACTCTTGTATAAAGATGCATCTGTTGGGGGAGTGGGACAGCTCTCCAGGAACTCTGTCTGGGAGCACTGACACGGCAGGGAGTATCTGGGACCTATACTAGGCGTTGGGGGGTCTCTTGGTTCTCTCTTTCCCTGAACGTCTCAGGGGGAGTGAATCTGTGTTCAGTGAAATCCTGGGAGAAGTGGGGGTTTTTTGGCAGGGGGTGGGAGGGATGCCATCCAATTTGGCCTGGGAGATCTCTGAGGTTCTCTTAGGGCTGGGGCTGCAGGGTCTCTGCGCAGGGATAGGGTGTCTTTGGGAGTCTTTGTCCTGGGAGATCAGTGGTTGGCGCCTAGGGGGACTACCGACCACTCATGACACGCCTCCTCCAGTACCTGGTCATGGAGTACTACGTGGGCGGGGACCTGCTAACGCTGTTGAGCAAGTTTGGGGAGCGGATCCCGGCGGAGATGGCGCGCTTCTACCTGGCCGAGATAGTCATGGCCATAGACTCGGTGCACCGGCTGGGCTATGTGCACAGGTGGGCGTGGCAGCGCCTGAGGGGCGGGGCCGGGAGAGGGATAGCAAAGCTTGTACCCTGGAGGATACCTTGAAGGTTGGAACTCAGAGGGGACAAGGCCTAGAGACGGACCTCCTTAGTTGGGGTCCACTGGGGGTGGGGCCTGGGGTCCAGAATTGTAGAATCCCCCGGGGGTGTAACCTGAGGGGGGCGGGGCCCGAGACAGCGCTGCTGGGGGGGTGGGGATGGGGGCGGAGCCTTGCAGGACGGTGGGAGGGATGCTCACTTATCCTTCCGTGCGCAGGGACATCAAGCCGGACAACATCCTGTTGGACCGCTGCGGCCACATCCGCCTGGCTGACTTCGGCTCCTGCCTCAAGCTGCGGGCAGATGGAACGGTGAGTGGGTGCGCCCACCATGGGGCAGCTTGCTGCCAGTGAGGGGGAGCGAGGTGCAGAGTGCGTGGCTGGGGTAGGGGTGGGAGCGGGACTGGATTTGGAGCGGGAAGGAGGCGACCAGGCCTAAGTGTGCTGTGTATTGTGTGGGGCAGGTTCAGACCGGGCAGAGGGAGGACATCAACATTTGGGACGTGGTTAGGAGGGGGCCGGAGCTGGTGGGCAGGGTGGAGCCAGAGCCCAGAGGCGTAGGACCGAGCCCAGCTCTGGCCTTGTTGGCGCAGGTACGATCGCTGGTGGCTGTGGGCACCCCAGACTACTTGTCCCCAGAGATCCTGCAGGCTGTGGGCGGAGGGCCCGGGCCAGGCAGCTACGGGCCGGAGTGTGACTGGTGGGCGCTGGGCGTGTTCGCCTATGAAATGTTCTACGGGCAGACGCCCTTCTACGCCGACTCCACGGCCGAGACCTACGGCAAGATTGTCCACTACAAGGTGCACGCAGCCCCAAGGAGTCCCCAAGCTCTCTGTCCTTGCTCCCAGCTCATGTCCCCCTTTCCCTCTCCCTCTGAGCAGGAGCACCTGTCTCTGCCGCTGGCGGACACAGGGGTCCCTGAGGAGGCTCGAGACCTCATCCAGCGGCTGCTGTGTCCCCCGGAGACAAGGCTGGGCCGGGATGGAGCAAGCGATTTCCAGAAGCATCCTTTCTTCTTCGGCCTCAACTGGGATAGTCTCCGAGACAGCGTTCCCCCCTTTACTCCAGACTTCCAGGGTGCCACTGACACGTGCAATTTTGATGTGGTGGAGGACGGGCTCACTGCCATGGTGAGCGGGGGCGGGGTAGGTACCCACTGCGCCTGCTCGGCTGAGGGGCTAAGGGAACCTGCCTATCCCCTGCTCCATAAAGTTGGAATAATGACAGTGCCTACCTGCCGGAGTCCTGAATCATTCATTCCCCAGAGCACCTGCAATGCCCAGCCAGTGTGTGACCTGGACCTACAGTCAGTGGGGGGACACAGACAGATCCCCAGACAATGAGGCCCCTGAGTGACCAGGGCTGAGATGGGAGAGTGTGGGTGTGGGGGGAGCTCCTGGCCCAGCATGGAAGGTCCTGGAGGGCTTGGGGGAGCACTGTGAGTGTCTCAGCTGAGACCTGGAGGGATGTGGGAGGCAGGAGAGGACTCTTCCTTCCTCAGGCCACGTCTCTCTCCACTATTGAGCAAGCTGTCCTGGAATGCTTGCTCATCAGCTCTGGGTGCCCTTCTGCTGGGCATTCTGGGGACACAGCACTGACCAAACCAGCCTTGCTCCCTACCCCCATCGACTTGAAGTCTAGACAAGTATATATTTTCACGTAGTGTCACAAATGCCCTGAAGGGAGGTAGAAGGATACGAGAAACAATGATGGTGGGCGACTTTGGATAAGCCCTGAGTTGGGGTTGCTTTGGGGGGTAACATGTAGGCCAAGACCAGAAAGGGGTGCAAGGCCAGCCCTGACAACTGCCGGTCACATCCGCGGGTCTCTTGTGTAGGAGACACTGTCAGACATGCAGGAAGGCGTGCCGCTGGGGGTCCACCTGCCTTTTGTGGGCTACTCCTACTCCTGCATGGCCCTCAGGTAAGCTCTGCCCTGCAAGGCCACCAGAGGCTCCGGAGGCTGCTTGGGCTTCCTGTGTTTGGCTCCTCGTCAGACGGTGGATTTGCACCAATCAGTCTTGGGACCAAGAACTCCTAGGAGCGCAGAGTTGTAGAATCTTAAAAGTCTCAGACTGTAGGACTTTAAAATTTTAGATTCAATTGTAAAACCTCAGAGCCACAGACTTGGCCTTCCAGAATCTTGTAACCGTTGACTTTGATATTTCTAGTACAGAGTCATGGGGCCTCAGAATCTTAGAAAATAATAAGTTGAGAATTTTGCAGTCAATTTTAAAAGAACACAAACTCATCGAATCAGTCATATAACAATACGGTGCGCAGACACATATTCGACAACTGGGAGAACAGAGGGTTTTCTAGTCAGCTTTTGTTACTGGATAATGTGTGACAACCACCGTTCCTTATCATTAGTGAACTACAACATGATTCCGAACTGCTGTGAAGTATCCTGCTTAATGGCAGGTCAGGATTTAACTCATCCTCTGTTATGTCCCAGGCGCACGTCCAGGATAGATAGGTCCTTGAGACATACTCCCACATGAAGGATTGCTGGGTCAAAGGGGAAATCCTCTGCGTATTCCTAGGGAGGGCCTGTCCTTTTCCCAGTAGCGGAGTGTAAGGGGGTGTGCTGATATCTGGAATCAACGCTCTTGCGATCCCATGCCTAGTCTTAAGACCACAGTTTTGGAGGGTGGCCAGACCTGGGCAGTCTCCCTCATGGGGTCCCCGTCCCTGCCCTGAGGCCTTAAGGAGAGAGGTCTGCAAAGGGAGGAGATAGCAGACCCTAGAATGCGTGCCTGGACTTCTGGTCCCTGCAGAAGGTTTAGAAAGGGCAGCAGCTCCTGGGGCCCAAGGCCATGGGAGGGGCAGGCTTTTCCTAACCAGAAGAGGGCACTTTGTCTTTTCACTCTGCCCCTCCCACTCCTCAAACCAGGGTGTCCTCAGGGCCAGCTGCCCCTGGCCCACAGGCTAGGGAGTCCTGGTTCTCAACCTGGGGATGGCAGCCTCTCTCCCTCCCTGTGTCCTCTTCCTCTCCCCAGGGACAGGGAGGTCCTCCCAGGCCCCACACCCATGGAACTGGAGGCGGAGCAGTTGCCTGAGCCACATGTGCAAGCGCCCAGCCTGGAACCCACGGTGTCCCCACCAGAGGAAACAGTAAGTTGATGGAGGAAAGGGGGTCGGTCAGGGATGAAGGAAAGGTGAGGGTTTCCAGGGTTTCCATTGCCCTCTGGGAGCTTACTGGACAGAAGTGGACAGAAAACCTGTAGAGATGAGGTTACAGCAGTTAGGAGACAGTCCCTAGGAAGAAATTAGAGCAGAGCATTCAGTATGCGTGTGCACATTCGTGTGTGTGTGTGTGTGGGGGGGGGGGGTCTCTAAAGAGTTTATCTTTGAGCTGAGCACTGGCGAAGGAGGAGGAGCCAACCATGAGAAGAACAGTCCCAACCATCAGTAGAGAGAACCTCAAGGGCCAAAGCCCTGGTGGGAACACCAGGTAGCTCTTGAAAGCAACAGGAGGATAGTATGGCTGAATTGTTACATGAAGGGGAGGGGAGGGGAGGCAAGCTTTGTCCTGAGGGCACTAGGGGCCTGGGGAGATTTCGAGCAGTGGAGGGACAAGGTCAAGTTGAGACTAGCTCTTCGGTTCCTGTGCGGATAGGAAAGGACCAGACTAAAGGCTGGAGACCACGGAGAAGACTGGAGGTAGGGAAGAAGGAGGCTTGGGTCATTGCAGGAGCTATGGGGGTTCCAGAAATTTCAGGGGGTTGAGGGAGTAGAGGATAAGTGAGGATCCCAGGCCTGGATCCCAACTCCTGTGGGAGCCACAGGCAGCCCTAAGCTCGGTCCTCTTACACAGGCTGAAGTGGCAGTTCCAGAAGCTATCCCGGAAGCAGAGGCTGGGGCGGAGGTAACGCTGAGGGAGCTCCAGGAGGCCCTGGAGGAGGAGGTGCTTAACCGGCAGAGCCTGAGCCGGGAGCTGGAGGCCATCCACACGGCCAACCAGAACTTTGCCAGGTCGGGGTCGTGGCGCGGGGGCTCTTGGCAACCCTTTGCTGCCCCTCTCTCGGGACTCAGATGGGCTCACGGTGCTTACCTCCCTGCAGTCAGCTACGCGAAGCCGAGGCCCGGAACCGTGACCTGGAGGCACACGTCCGGCAGCTGCAGGAGCAGATGGAGTTGCTTCAGGCCCAGGGAGCAGCAGGTGAGTTCCTCTTCCGCCCCCGTGCCCAAGGGGGCCAGAAGGAGGTGGGCCGGCTGTTCGGCAGAGGTGTGGACACCTGGGGAGGGGAGGGGCCCAGGCTGGGGCACGCCTCGCCACCGCCCTCCTCCGCCCCTCCACGCGCCCTACGCCTCTCTCTTCTCCTTCCAGCTGTCACGGGGGTCCCCAGTCCCCGGGCCACGGATCCACCTTCCCATGTAAGATCCCTCTCTTTCCTCTGTCTCAGCCCTGCTGCCCCTCTGCGGATCCCCTTCTCCTCTCCCCGTCCATATTTAGGGCTCACCCTACCCCTTTGTGGCTCCAGAGAGCAGAAGGCCTTCATTCAGCCCCAGATCTCCCTCTGTCCAGGTCTCTCACCACATCCCCTCCGGGATCTCCCCAGATGCCCCCACCACCCCATCCCCAGCCTCGACTTCCCTCGCTGTCTCTCGCGCCCTGTCGATGGCTGGGCTGGGCTGGGCTCCGATCGGGTCACCTGTCCCTTCTCTCTCCAGCTAGATGGCCCCACGGCCGTGGCTCTGGGCCAGTGCCCGCTGGTGGGGCCAGGCCCCATGCACCGCCGCCACCTGCTGTTCCCTGCCAGGGTACGTCCGGCTGTCCACGCACGCCCGCCAGCCCGCCGCGCCCCCGCCTCGCTCCACCCACCCCGCACAGTCACGGCTTTGGGGCGGCTCTGTAGGGCTCCGCCCACCGCGGGGAGGGAGAAAGCTCGGGCAGCCAATCAAAGCAGGCCGCTAGGAAACAGCCAATGGCGAGTTCGTATGGGATTTGAGGCTTGCGAGCAAACCAACCACAGCTGCCGGCTGCTGGGGACCGAGGGCGGGTCCCGGGAGGATTGTGGACTCACTTTAGGGTGTAAGCCGACTCCTGTAGCCAATCAGAGGCCCCTGTCGCCGGGTGCTGATCCCACCCTCTCGCCCGCAGGTCCCTAGGCCTGGCCTATCGGAGGCGCTTTCCCTGCTCCTGTTCGCCGCTGCTCTGGCTCTTGCCACCGCCTTGGGCTGCGCTGGGTTGGTGGCCTACGCCGGCTATCTCGCCCCGCCCTGGCGCTGCCCGGGAGTCGCCCTCGCCCCCTGAACCCTAGAGCCCCAGACTGTCCTCCACTCGGGGCCCGTTGTAGGGTTGAGTGGCCCGGACACTACACAGAAGCTGCTCCCACCGCACCCCGGTTCACACCCACGTGCGTGGGTCTTCGCCCCAGCTCCTGTCCTATGATCCGGGCCCGCCCCCGTCGGCCTGGGAGGGAGGAGCCGGCCCGCGGCAGGCGAATGGGGCTCGTAGGGGCTTTATAGCCGGGAATGCCGCTGCTGCTGCCGCTGCTGCTGCAGGGTGGGATCGCAGACCACCTCTTCCCTCCGGCCGGGCTGAGGCCCCGACGCGGATGAGTAAACTGCGGTCCTGAGCAGGCAGCAGGCCGGGCTTGGCCATCCATTTTGCACCCTCCACGCACTCTCACCCGCCGTCAGTTCGCAAATTCTCCTTGTGCATGCGGCCCTGCTCGCCCGGCAAGATTTTATTGCCGTGGCGAACGTTCGGCGCGACCTCTGCCCGCTTTCTTTTGCCAGCCCCGCTTTTTCGGGGACTCCTGCGCCCCCTGCTCACATGCACTACTCTCGGAGCCACAGTCGGCTCCGCCTGCCTCGGAGGTTTGGATATTTATTGATCTTGTCTTGTCCTCCGACTCGCTGACAGGTTCCAGGACCCCAACACCCTAATCCACGTTTTGGATGCACTGAGACCCCCGACATTCCTCGGTATTTATTGTCTCTCCCCACCTAGAACCCCACGCCCGATCCTCGCGAATAAAAGGCCCTCCCGACTGCCTAAAGCTCCGGGCTCTGCGGTGTTCGGTGTTCGTTCTGTTTGGTGGTGGGCGGGAGGCCGCTCACTGGCCAATCAGAAAGCGAGTGGAGGCGGCCAATAGCCTGGCGGGGAGTTCGCGGGACTCAAGGCTGACGAATCAGGGATGGGGAGAGGGAAAAATTGGGGGCGGGACCTAGGCGTCCGGCCACCCCGGAGGCACCGCCCCCCTGCCCAGCTGTGGCCCAGCTGTGGCACCGCGCGTAGAGAAGAAGGGGGCTGGGCCGGCAGCGCGCGGGGCCATCGTCTTCCCACTGCGCCTGCGCGAGCCACGCGCATCCGCTCCAGGAACGTAGGCTCAGAAAAGTTGCTGCAAACTTTCCAGCTCGCTTCCCCCGCCCCTCCTCCCAGCCAGACCCGCCCCCCTGCGGAGCCGGGAATTCCGAGGGGCGGAGCGCAGGCCGAGATGGGGAATGGGGGGGCCTGCAGAGGACCCTGGAGACGGAGGCGTGCAGGAGCTCAGTCCCGGGGTGGAGGCGGCTTCGCGCCCTTAGCCCTCTTGGACGGCCCGTTACCTTCTCCGTTGTCCCGATGGGGAAACTGAGGCCCTGAGCCTGAGGCACACGCGGGGGGAGGCAGAAAGCGCGGCCAGAGGCGGAGGGAAAACAAAGGGAGAATCACGGACAGACGAGGAGGGGGACGGACACACACAGGGACAGAGACCCGAATGGAGAGCTGAGTCTTGCATTCGGGGCGGGGGAGGGCCGCAGGGTCTGCCAGGGGAGAAGCTCGGGAAGCTCGGGGGTGGGGGCGAAGAGGGGGGACAGGCGGGGGAAGGGGCTGGGGAAAGCCCGAGGGAGGAGGAGAAGGAGGGAGGAACTTCCCAAAGTTGCAAAACATGGCTACCTTGCCTGCGGAGCAGAGCGCGGGGCCGACGGTCGGGGGGGAGGCGGTGGCGGCGGCGGCGACCGAAGAGGAGGAGGAGGAAGCGCGCCAGCTCCTGCAGACTTTGCAGGCGGCCGAGGGTGAGGCGGCGGCGGCGGCCGGGGCCGGGGCGGGCGAAGCGGCGGCGGGAGCGGAGGGCCCGGGATCCCCGGGCGTCCCCGAGTCGTCCCCCGAGGCCACTGCCGAGCCGCCCACCGGCCTCCGCTTCTCGCCCGAGCAGGTGGCGTGCGTTTGCGAGGCGCTGCTACAGGCGGGCCACGCCGGCCGCTTGAGCCGCTTCCTGGGCGCACTGCCCCCAGCCGAGCGCCTACGTGGCAGCGACCCGGTGCTGCGCGCGCGGGCCCTGGTGGCCTTCCAGCGGGGCGAGTACGCTGAGCTCTACCGGCTACTCGAGAGCCGCCCCTTCCCCGCCGCCCACCACGCCTTCCTGCAGGACCTCTACCTGCGCGCGCGCTACCACGAGGCCGAGCGGGCCCGTGGCCGTGCGCTGGGCGCAGTGGACAAGTACCGCCTCCGCAAGAAGTTCCCGCTGCCCAAGACCATCTGGGACGGCGAGGAGACCGTCTACTGCTTCAAGGAGCGCTCCCGCGCCGCGCTCAAGGCCTGCTACCGCGGCAACCGCTACCCGACGCCGGACGAGAAGCGCCGCCTGGCCACGCTCACCGGCCTCTCGCTCACGCAGGTCAGCAACTGGTTCAAGAACCGGCGACAGCGCGACCGGACCGGGGCTGGCGGCGGCGCGCCCTGCAAGAGGTGAGGGGACTCGTGCGGGGCAAGTCTTGCTTTTCTTTTGCTACCAGCGCTCTTCCCGGGTGCCTACTGCTGGGGTCAGCGCGCCGAAGTCCTGGGACACCTCCCGCTCACACCCTCAGGCGTCTGCGGAGTGCAGGAACTAAGCGAGGATGGGACACGCACACGCCCGAGCCCCCTCCCCGGGTGTCACTTTTCTGTACGCGGAGGCTCAGAGACCTCTTCGCGCTGTTCCATCCAGGACCCAGTCCGTGCTCTGGACTTCACTGGGGGAGGTAGTGAGAAAATAGGGGGCTCTATGGGGCTGCAGAGAAGCAGGAGGGGCCTTTGCCCCCACCCCAGCCTATGTAGGGGTTCCATTCAGGCCCCCTTTGCAGCCTGGCCCTCCCTGACCGTTACTCTTCCCCACCCACTCCCACACCCCCCAGGGCCCAAACAGCGTGGCCTGTCGTCCGTCTTTGTTGTGAAACGTGAACCCTCCCCAGCTCCGGTTTCCCTGTAACCCAAGCCCTTCCCCTCCCACCCTGTGGGCCCGGCCTCTCACTCCCTTCTCTGACGTCCCGCGGGGAGGGCACAGGGAGCTGAGCGGGAGCCTGCTCCTCACTCCGGGACACTCGCGGGCTTGTCTACTCTCCGCCTACCCCAGGGAACTTCAGGGCAGCCTGGGTGCTCCGCCTCTGGGGCGCCGCGGCCAAGGCAGTGGGAGAGCAGGGCCTCTTCCCTCCCCATCCCGTCCAGCCTTTGCTTTTCTGCGATGGCGTCAATGCAGGACTTGCAGAAGGCCCTGGGGTCTTGGGTCTCTCAGAGGTTTCGTAGCCCCAGAAACGGTCCACAGACGCTTGGGCTGGGGAAACGTGGGGACGCAGTGGGCAGCCTGTGCTCCTGCAGAGCGGCTTGCGCCCGGCTCTATGCAGAAGCCCAGCTGGCAAACGGACCTCAGCTTACAATCATTTCTCCCAACAGCGAGTCTGATGGGAATCCCACTACTGAGGACGAGTCCAGCCGAAGTCCCGAGGACCTGGAGAGGGGGGTGGCCCCAGTGTCTGTGGAGGCCACTGCCCAGGGCTCCATATTCTTGGCAGGAGCCACCCCTCCTTCACCGTGCCCGGCCTCCTCCTCCATCCTGGTGAATGGGAGCTTCCTGGCGGCCAGCAGCTCTCCAGCCGTGCTCCTCAATGGCAGCCCTGTCATCATCAACAGCCTGGCCCTGGGCGAGGCCTCCAGCCTGGGCCCCTTGCTGCTCACAGGGGGTGGTGCTGCCCCTCCTGCCCAGCCTAGTCCCCAGGGGGCCAGCGAGGCCAAGACCTCCCTGGTCCTGGACCCTCAGACTGGGGAGGTTCGGCTGGAGGAGGCTCAGCCTGAGGCCCCTGAGACCAAGGGGGCCCAGGTCACTGCTTCAGGGCAGGCCGGAGAGGAGGTCCCAGGAACCCTGCCCCAAGTGGTGCCTGGCCCCCCACCAGCTGCCACCTTTCCTCTGACCCCAGGACCAGTGCCTGGTGTGGCTGCTCCACAAGTGGTGCCAATCTCCCCACCCCCTGGGTACCCAACGGGCCTGGGGCCCACCTCCCCGCTGCTAAACTTGCCCCAGGTTGTGCCCACCTCACAGGTGGTGACCCTGCCCCAGGCTGTGGGGCCACTGCAGCTGTTGGCAGCTGGGCCGGGCAACCCCGTGAAGGTGGCAGCTGCAGCAGGCCCTGCCAACGTGCACCTGATAAACTCTGGGGTGGGCGTGACAGCGCTGCAGCTGCCTTCGGCCACTGCTCCAGGTACCCCCTTCTGCTTCTCTCAGGCCTGGGTGAGAGCTGGGAGAGGGGATTGCAGCAGTCAGAGAGGGAGGGGGCTTTCAGTGGCCTTTGGGGGGCATCTCACCCCTGGCAAGTCCCAGTGCCCTTGTGTGCCAGGGCTAGTACGCTGGCTGCAGCCACATGGGCTTGGCTCTGCCTGGAAGGGGCTTGGCCACCTGCCGCCTAGTAGCATCTTCCCCTCTGTTCTGCCAGCTGCTTCTGGCTCTAACTTTGTGCTTGGCCCGTCTCTTCTCCCCACAGGAAACTTCCTCCTGGCCAACCCTGTGTCTGGCAGCCCGATCGTGACCGGCGTGGCTGTGCAGCAGGGCAAGATCATCCTCACCGCCACCTTCCCTACCAGCATGCTGGTCTCCCAGGTCCTGCCTCCAGCCCCCGGCCTGGCCCTGCCCCTGAAGCCAGAGACGGCCATCTCAGTGCCTGAAGGAGCCCTCCCGGTGGCCCCCAGCCCCGCTCTCCCAGAGGCGCACACCCTGGGCACCATTTCTGTGCAGCAGCTACCACCCACCCCTGCCGCCACCTCTGGTGCCAGCCTGCCCTTCTCCCCAGACTCCCCTGGTCTCCTGGCCAGCTTCCCAGCACACCCACCGGAGGGGCTGATGCTGTCACCTGCGGCTGTACCCATCTGGCCAGCAGGGCTGGAACTGAGCACAGCAACAGAGGGGCTGTTAGAAGCCGAAAAGGGGCTGGAGACACAGGCCCCCCACACCGTGCTGAGGCTGCAGGACCCTGACCCCGAGGGGCTGCTCCTGGGGGCCACGGCAGGGGGCGAGGTTGATGAGGGGCTGGAAGCTGAGGCCAAGGTCCTGACCCAGCTACAGTCGGTGCCTGTGGAAGAACCCTTGGAACTGTGACCCAGCCTGGCCCGATTGCTCTCCTGACAATGGTGCTCAAGATGCAGGGACCGGACCTGGGAGGAGGGAACCTCTCAGGAACACGGTTGCTGCAGTCTGAAGATTCCACACACACTACGTCCTTCCGGCCCAGATAACCTCTCCAAGCCCTAGAGGTGCCTGGGGGACTTGTCCCTGCCCAGGGCACCATCCCTCTCTGGATGGGAGGCTTCCTCTGTTACAGCCCTCTCCTTGCTCTGCCCTGCCATGTCTGTGGTGATCTGGGACGTCCTGACCCAGGACTGTGCCCCCTCCACCTGGTTCTGGCTGTGAGCTGAAAACCCGGCCACATGGCTGGCTTTCCAACCCCCACCATCCCTCTCCCTGTCACTCCCCGAAACACTATTAATAGCTCCACTGATATCCAGTGTTCTCACCACTGCTTGGAATCCGAGGATGGGGGACAGTCAGTGCCCCAAGACTGACAGACCCTCCCCTAGCCTGGCCTTTCCTGCTCAAAAGGGACGCCCGGTGTGGGCAGGGTGGGAGCCTGCTCCACTAGCTCCCCCAGACTAAAACCCTTGTTGTCACATCCAGCCCCAGACCAAAGATTCCCTCCTCCCTGGGGGCACCCCTGATCCCTGTGTCCAGTTTGTATCCTAAATCTTTATTTTTCTAGGACATGTTATGCCTCCATTTCAATTAAAGTTACCAGACAACAGAACTATTGGGGGTGTGGGTTTCCTTCCAAATGACTGGCCCAAAGAGAACCCGAGTGACAGAAAGCCCTGCTTGAGACTGGCTTTCTGGTGGCTACTTCCTGAAGGGGAAGAGGGTTTGTGTTCAGATTTGCGGTGGGGCTTGGGCGGGTGTGGGCAGCTTCTTTCACGCTGCAGGCGTCCGGATTTGGGTAGAAGGGGCACCCTGGGTGGGGGGCGGGCAAGCAGATGCAGGAGAGCCTCCCCTTGGCACCCTTGCTGGTGCCAAGGGTTGCACTTGCTTTATTTCATTTAAAACAATAAATAATTTATAAATAGAACAGGGGAGGGAGGAGTGGGGAGAGGTGAGAATGAAGAGGGTTGAAACCATTTGGTTCTGGGGTGGGGAAAGGAAAGGCAGAGGGCAATCCCTGACTATAAACTTCACCTCCCTGCATTTCATTTAAGGTTTCCTCCCTCCCGCCCTGAGGGTCCTCTGGGGGCCACCGGGTAGAAGTGCTGTGACGGGCAGCGCTGCTGAGCAAGGCAGCAGCGGGAACAGTAACTACGCCCCTCTCCCGGCGCTGCGGGCACTGGCCACGGAGACCTGCATCACCATCGCCAGGCTCAATGCCCGGGAAGGGACAAGCTCTCCCGGCTTCAAGCAAGAGTTACCAGGGAGGAGAGTGAGGGGGTTACCCTGTCTCGCCCGTGGAGAGGAAGTGGCAGTGAGGCCTCGTCTGAGGCACAGCGGGCCTTCTCAGCCAGCAGCTGGTAGAAGGGCTTGGGCATCTCCCAGTCGTCCTCGTCACTGCTGGAGCCGTCCTGCTTCACGATGCGGTTGTGCTGGCGGCTGAATCTTCGAGCCTTGATGCTGCGGGGAGACGGTGGCAGGATGACCAGGGGTTTCTCACTCACCTCCTGGGCATCTCTGTCCCACCCCTAATCCTCTGCCCCCCGAAGTGCCCAGGGCCTGGCTGAGAGGGAGGCCAGAGTTTTAGCCCTACTGGGCACACCTCTGGGTCTCCAAGTCCCCTTCGATGAGCTCTTTGCAGGAGTCCCACGCTCCTTTGAGGATCTCTTAAAAATTGTGCACAGACGTGAGTGTTTCAGGGGCCAATTCAGAAATGGGCAGATGGCAGCTCTTCAAAGTTGGTGGAAAGAACAAGGTTTCAGGAAGGGGGGGTCGAAGAAGAGGAGGGAAGAAGGAAGCCAAGTGACAGGAAAATAAAACCATGCTCTGAGAAACTCCATGTGGCCAAGAGGGCAAAAGGAACTGGGGCAGCAAGGCCCAAATCCCCACTTGGGCTACCTGCCCTGCTCAGCTACCTCTCTGCTTCTTACCCCCAGGTCTCTCCTGACAATTGGTGGCACACAAGTTCCCCAGTGCAGTAAACTCCCAACCTGTTTCCAATACCACGAAGCTTAAGGCTCTACAGATCGGAGCAGGATTAGGATCTGGGAGGCCCCTCTACCCACCGCCGGGCCTCCTGGGCAGGGGCTTCTCACCAATACGGTCTCCGTTCCTGCTGGGTCATAACGCGCCACAGCTGGGCCAGCTCCTTGGTGGCAGCCGTGGATGCGGTCCCAGGGCAGGCTCTGGGACAGGAAGAGGGAGGAAGTCAGGGAGGTAAGGAGAAGCCTGCAGGGGACCTTGACTTGTGCAAAGGCCATCGCTATGGCTGCATGAGGGTCCCTTGCCCTCTCAGAGCCTCAGTTTTCCATCTGAAAACTCAGATCTTTCCTATCTCTTTGGCCTGTGAGGCCCCATTATGTACCCTCTGGAGCCAATGAGTCAAACAAGGGAAATGAATGAAATGGTTGTTCACAAGGGGATACCTGGTGTCCCGGAGAGTACAGGGGACCTGTAGCCACTGCTCCTGGCACTAGCACATGGATCTTCCTGTAGAGAACCAACTCTTCTCCACTATAGCTGGGGCGCCTCCCCCTACGACTGGTTCAGAGTTGGGCACCTGATCTATCAAAGCTACTGAGACTCAGAACTTTTCCTTGAACCCTTAGAGACAGGAGCTCTCCTCCCACCAAAGTTGCTAGGGTGGCAGAAAGGACACAAGCGTGCACCTTCTGGGGTGCCTCCAACATAGCCCAGCATGCTGGAGAATGAAGCCAGCCCAGAGGACAGAGGAGTTGAGAGAGAGGGACAAAGATTCCGGACAGTGTTGTTTGAGCCCTAAAACCAACCACATCTGAAGGCAACTATCCCTTGGCCAATTCATTTCCTTTTTTCCATAAGTCTGAAATCATTGCTTAGAACTGATAGGCCCTGACCAATACGAGGGGTCTGAGGTTAAATTCTGGGGGAGAACTGTGGTTGAGGAAGGGTTCATGGGTTCTAGGAAGGGGCAGATGTGTCAGATGGCAGTGGGGAGCCACATGGTCTGGGGGGTGAGCCGACAGTGAAGGCAGGGCTTGACCCAGGACCAAAGAGGACCCCCCCCCACCTACCGGATATATTGCTTCCGGTTCATCCTGCAGAACATGATGAAGCCGTTGACACACTTTTTCTTCATCTGGGTGGAGCCGGGGGCTTTCTTGCTCTCTTTGGGCTTCACGGGGCCCCTGCCTGCTCCTCCCTTCCTGGCCTTTCTCCCGGCTGTGGGCAGGGTTGAGACCCGCCGGGTGGGGGTCCACGTATAGTCTCCGTCCTCATCACTGGAGGTCTGCAAGCCCTCGGGGTTAGCTCGCATGTCCTGGGTGGGGGACACGGGGGGATGAGAGAGGGCAAGAGACGCCTGACTGGCTTTGGCAGATGGCCACTTCTCTCACCTCTTGCTGTGTCCACATGAACTCTGTGTCGCTGTCCTCTGAGCTAGGGCTGGACAGCGCCTTGCTGTTCTCACTCAGAGAGAGGTAGCAGTGGTCCAGCGAGACCAAGGGCTGGCACAGGCTGTGGGAGTCAGGAGGGTCTTCCGGAGCCTCAGACAGTGTGTCCTGGGCCGTGATGAAGGAGAAAGATGGGAGGGGGGATGGGTGGTGCCCCACCCCATCACTGCTTTTCTAGGATGTAACATGGACATCAGAAGCAGCTCGGATTAAAGATAACCTCGTCTCAATGCCCCTTAGACATTCAAGCAAATGTTCCAGAGTTCCCCAGGAGTCAGAGGGGGGCTGCACTGGGCTTGGGGCGCCTGCCTCCTCTGGGGCAATACCTTCTTAAGCCCACCAGTTTGTTACGTGCTCAGTAGCTATGATGCCTTGCACAAATCTCAACTTCCCTGAGTGTGGATTTCATTTACAAAATCTAGGTCACGATACATGCCTTGTGGGGTTGAGAAGCACTTCGCATAGTGCCCGGCACCAACTAAAAGCTCTGCTATTGGTGTCTGTTTTTGTTTCTGCTGCCAGTTCAGCTACTCACTGAGGCGACTGTGGAGGAAGAAATCAGTTGGGGTTCTAGAGCTGAGGGGCTGAGTCTCTGTAAGACAGGGACCTCCTGGAGCAGATGGTGGCTACAGAGCTTAGCCCAGAGGCCTGGGAGGAAGCAGTCCTGGGTTTTGGTTTCTATTCTAACTGAAGATTCTTGAAATCATTTCTGATTTCTGGTTCCTCATCTGTAAAATGGGGTCACAAGAGAACCTGCTTCAGGCCTGGCGCGGTGGCTCACGCCTGTAATCCTAGCACTCTGGGAGGCCAAGGCAGGCGGATTGTTCAAGGTCAGGAGTTCAAAACCAGCCCGAACAAGAGCGAGACCCCGTCTCTACCATTAATAGAAAGAAATTAATTGGACAACTAATATATATAGAAAAAATTAAAATAAAAAAAAAAAAAGAAAAAATTAGCTGGGCATGGTGGTGCATGCCAGTAGTCCCAGCTACTTGGGAGGCTGAGGCAGGAGGATTGCTTGAGCCCTTGAGATTGAGGTTGCTGTGAGCTAGGCTGATGCCACGGCACTCACTCTAGCCTGGGCAACAAAGTGAGACTCTGTCTCAAAAAAAAAAAGAGAACCTGCTTCATAGAATAGCTATAAAATTACATGGGGTCTTTTAGGGGCACTGGCAGCTTTCAGCTTTTCTCTTTTTTGTTTCATTTGTTCCAAGAGCCCAGCACAGTGAGTGCTCAAAGGCTGGGTAGTGAGCACACAGTGGGTGGGTAAGCTTTTATAAGGCTGAGAAGCAGCAATGAATGGACAGGTGAGTGGGTGGGTGGGAGGCCGCTGCAAGGGACAGGGGAGGGACGAGTGAATCGGCTGTAAGGTGTGATGATGAGTCCGTGGTCAGACAGGTGGACGATGCCTACCTTCTTCTGGGACTTTTCAGGCATGCAGGTGGAAGCTGGAGACTCAGGATCTAAGTACACTTCCTCAAAGAGAGCTGTCGGGGAGGGAGAACGGGGTTGCTAGAGTGAACATGCTTCTCTCACAGTGCCCTGCCTCAGCCCTGCTGTCCCCATGAGCTGGTGTCTCCTCGGGCTCTCTCCTGTGGGATCTGCAACCCTCCGCCCAAACCCAGCTCACAGGCCTGCTCCACTGGGCACCTCCAACCCTGAGGCAGAGTGAGGGGCTCCCTGCTAGGGGCTCCTAGAACCTTCCATTCACCATACTGGCCTGTGGTTGTTCCCTCGCTAGGCTGTGGGCTCCTCAAGGCAGGGCCCGAATGGGATTCACCTCTGGGTACTCAGCATGGCCCGGCACAGGCCTAAGCATACGGTGGCATCACCATGTGCTTCCCGAATGGACTAAGTGGCAGGCCTAGCCCTGGATGCTCACCTTCGGTCAGGTACTCGACGCCATCCTCCAAGATCTGTTCTGGCAGCAGTTTGCCCGGGGAGCTGAAGAGCGAGGGGCTGAGTCCTAGGATCTCAATCGGGTTACCGGTCACACTCCAGGTATCAATCTGGGCAGGCTCCAAGGCCAGAGGGCTCCCTGAAAAGAACACATCAGCCCAGAGATGGCCCTCTGCCCCAACACAGCAGCTGGCTTTGAGGGCATGGTGCCAGATACTGGGGACAGGTGACTCTGTCAATTTCTCATTTTTGAGTCATTGGTAGAGGCAATTAAAAGGTACAATGCAGCCAGGTGTGGTGGCTCACACCTGTAATCCTAGCACTCTAGTAGGCCGAGGCAGAAGGATTGCTCGAGGTCAGGAGTTCGAAACCAGCCTGAGCAAGAGCGAGACCCCATCTCTACTATAAATAGAAAGAAATTAATTGGCCAACTAAAAAAAAATATATATATATATACATACATATATATATAGAAAAAATTAGCCGGGCATGGTGGCGCATGCCTGTAGTCCCAGCTACTTGGGAGGCTGAGGCAGCACGATTGCTTGAGCCCAGGAGTTTGAGGTTGCTGTGAGCTAGGCTGATGCCATGGCACTCACTCTAGCCTGGGCAACAGAGTGAGACTCTGTCTCAATAAAATAAAATAAAATAAAGATACAATGCTTGGAATTATGTCAGGGATGGCAAAAAGAAAAATATATTGTTCCAGATCTGACAGACTGACTATAGCTACTGTAGGTCTGTGTTAAGAAAGATTCTGAGGCAGTGTCTGGGCTCAAAGGAAAGAGTGATGATCAATTAGCAATGTCTGCCATGGCAACCAATGGCAGAGATAAAGCAGGCACGCTGTGCATTTGCCATCCCTGTGCTTAGTGAACCTCCATTCCCTTTCCCACTCTCTCCCCTTCCACGGAAATCCTCAGAATGAAAGTACAAGAAGGTCTCACAGCGGCCTACAAGAAGAGACAGGGTTTCAGTCACCATGAGGGCTGTCCCTTATGGTCCAGACAGGAAGCCAAGGGTCCGTATCAGGGGTCTTCTTATCCACTTCCTCACTGGAATCGTAGAACGACAGCTTCTGCCTGCAAAGAATGGAATTTAAGAGGCAAAACACACAGCCCGGGGCTGGAAGTTGCTGTGTGACCCCCTTGGGGTCTCAGTGTGGCCATCTGTAGTCACATGGCACAGCTCTATGCTGGCCCCCAGGAGATGCTAATGGCAGAATGCTCAACCAGGTCAGGTCCTGCCCTCAAGGAGCTTCAAGGAGGAGAGACCAGTTGGTAAACAGACTCTGGCAACATGGGGGTGCTGTGATCCAGGGGCTTCAAGGAGGATGAGGCAGTGGGAGGGCGGAGAGAGAGGGAGGAGCACAGTGAGCTTGGCCTGAAGACCGGGCAGGTTTTTTTGTTGTTGTTTTTTTATTTAATGAAAGAGCTGAAAGAAAAGACTGAGCAGTTTTGCAGGTGGACAGGGCATGGACTCTCCAGGACGAGGGACCGGGTGTGAGAAGCCCAGCAGGGGCCAGGGCATGGCTTGGGGGGAATGGCGAATATTTGGTGTTGTTAAGTATAAGATTCGTGAGTGAAGGGCAAGAGAGGGCTGACAAGTCAACTGGGGGCAACAGAAGGTCTCAAATGCCAGTTAAGATATCTAGGCTCTACCTTACAGGCACTGAGGAAGGGCTGACATGGTCAAGGTCTGTGTTACAAAAGCCACTTGGCCAAGCGAGGATGGGCTGGAGGGGTGACGAGGAAGGCAGAGGGGCAAGTGTGGAGGCTGCAGCCATGTCCAGGAGATGGGGAGCCAGGCTTCCCTGCGAGCCCACAGTCGGCACAAAGCTAGACCCCCACTGGTGCTCGTGGGGCCCCGGCAAAGGATGTGAACTGACCTCATGTCACCCAGTCACCACCCCTCGACCACACCACACCAAACACCTCAGCACCACCCACTCAGTGCCCTTGGGGGTCCCTTACCTGGGACAGGGCTGTGTCTTGCTGAGAAAATGGATGCTTTCAGCACCTTCTGGGTCTCCGAGAGGAGGATAAGGCCCATCGTCCTGGATGGTGTTCCCGCAACAGCAGCCTGAGGGGGCAAATCAGGATGACCACTGCTGCGGGCTGGGCCAAATCCCAGGACTCCTGCACACAGGGGATGGAAGGTGCCAGGTCCTGCTGTGCTGCCCCTCAGCTCCTCAATTCTAGCCAAAATGGCAGGTGGCAGAGCCTCTGCATGAGGCTCAGGGGAGCCCCAATTCATCCCCAGGTTTCTTGAATCCCACATCCCTATCAGAAGCTGCAAGAAAGACAACATTCTTAAGTGGAATGCTGGCGATGACAGCAAGGATAGCAAACAAGCATCCGTGCTTACTCTGGGCAGCACTGTTTTGAGTATTTTGCATGCTATATAGTAAACCTTTCCCAAAAAGTACTATTATTATACCCGTTTTACAGGTAGGTAAACTGAGGCACTGAGCTCTCAAGTAACTTGCCCAAGGTCATGCAGCTAGCAGGAAGATCTGAGAAGCCTTCCCTGATCCCCAGGCCGGGTCAGACGCCTCCTCTGGGGCCTCCAGCCTCCTGTGAAAGCCCAGGACTAGCAGTATCTGGTGATGTGGGAGACTCCGTCATGGGACTGAGAACTTGGTCACTGATCTGTCACCAGCACCCCACACATGGCCTGGCACACAATAGGTGCTCAGGGAGGAAGGAACAAACGGAGGAATAAGCTGATTTGAGGTCTCCACCCTTGCATTCAGACCTCCCCCACCCACCCAGCTCTCTGCGGGATGTGTCATCACACATCTCCCAACCTGGTGCAGTGACAGGAGTCACGAGAGAGAGTCTGGCTGCTACGAGTGAAGCCTGAGGAGGAGGCCCTGCCCTTACCCCGAGTCCTGCGACCTGAAGCCCTGCACGTTCACGGCTGTATCCCCCACCACTAATACTGTGTCTGAGACACAGTGGTGCTGAAAAGCAGCATCTGAATGAAAGACTAAGTTAACATTAATAGTGAGGAAAGAGACCAACTTAAGATGTCACAGTGAACAATGTTCTCGGCCGTATCCAGCAACGTCAGGTGGGACTGTCCTCCATTTCTACCACCTTGAGACGAGGATGATGCAGCCTCGGGGTGACCGCAGGAGTTGGGGCATCTTGGAGGGGGGATGGTCCCCCCCATGTTTCCTCCTTTCTGGTCTAGGCATAGGGTCACCAGCTTCTCAGGCTTGTCCAGGGCCAGAGAGCGGCGAGGCCTCTGGGCCCGAGTCTGGCGTTCTGAAGGAGCAGAGAGTCAGTGTCAGAGGGGTCTGGGGGCTGCCTGAATGTCACCAGAGTATGGTTCAGGTGGTGGCCCTCTTTGCCCTGGGTCTGACAACCTGTTTCAAAGCCTTACCTAGCCTGGTCACTCACCAGCCCTTCTGGGTATGTCTAGATCCTCAATTAGAGGCCACTTGGTCCAACCCCTGTCCACATGTTAGAATCACCTTGTGAGCTCTAAAAAAAGAACTGGTGCCTGGGTTCTACCCCAGTCCAATGAAACCTGACTTTCTGGGTATGAGGCCTCCGCACTAGTCCAAAAGGGAGCTAGGAGTTGATCCCAGGCAGAGAGGGCCCAGTAGGCCCCCAGAGCAATGGCATCCCTGGAGCAGGAGCCCTGCTTCTTCCACTCATGGCTCGTACCTGGTACTCTGGACAGCTTTTTCTTCCGAGGTTTCTGGCAGGCCCCCCGAAGACGGGACTTCCGACAGCGAGGGGAGCTGGAAGGGGTGGAGTGTCTCCGCCTGGCTGGGCCCGAGCCTGGGTTCCGACCCAGCCCTGGGTGGATGGAGAAGGAGACAGTCAGATTCCCCCGTCCTCACCTGATTTCATCTTCTGCCTTCCAGACAATGCTTCCCAATCCTAGGGCAGGGAGGGTCCCCAGGATGACTTTACAAATGTAGAAACTAGGGCCAAGGGAGGAGATTGGACTTGTCCACAGTTGCAGAGCCAGGGGGCAGAAGTATAGCATGAAAACTCAGATTTCTCCAGGTCCGTTCTGGGCACTGGTGGCGAGGAGAACAGACCCAACCCTTCCCAGATGCTTTACCCTCTTCCCCACCCCAAACCGGCTGCTCCTCCTACCTTCCTCAGCACAGCGAGGGCACCAGGCCCACTCCAGGGTTGCCCTGGGCCTCTGCCTCTGGCCTCTCCATTCTTCCTCCTTAACATTTCCCAAATGTACCCACTTTTGTCCTTGTTCTCAGCTACAGAGCTAGATTGGGCCTCATTATCTCCTATCCAGATCACTCCAAAATGTATCTTCTCTGATCTCCCCGACTCTAGTTTTTCATAATTTCATAACCATTCCTCTATGCCAGATGCCAGGGACCTTGTTCTAAAAATGACAAATCTGATCATGACTTTTCCCTGGCATAAAATCCTTCAGTAATTCTCATCTTCTTCATCTCCCTCCCTAGCCAGGCACTAGAAGCCCTTCAGGATCTTGTCCCTGCCCTCCTTGGCCCTGCCGAACCACTCCAGCCTCATCTCCTACCATTCTGTCTGTGAATTTCATACTCCAGTAACAATGACAGCACTTGGCACCTCCAGCATTGGGAGACGTATGTGCCAGGCACTGTGTTATGTTCATATGTATTCACTCATTTAAACCTCACGACAAACACGGAAGGGAAATGATAGTGTTTTACAGATGATGGAACTGAAGCACAGAGAAGTTAAAGTCACAAAGATATGCCTGGGTCAGGATCTAACGAGCTCACATATGTCATTTTGATGCTACAGTCCCTACAATCACACCCTACTACTTGCCTGTCCCCAAACACTCCGCACGTGTCTTCTGCACATTCTTGCTTCTGCGTGGTGAGGTTTCCCCCCTTCTCCTACTGTTCTTTTGTTTTTTTTCTTTCCCGATCAAGACAACTGAATCTCCTACTGTTCTTAACGCCCAGCTCCAAGGCCCCTCTCCTCTAAGCTCCCACAGCATCTCGCACACCTCTCTGACTTTGTCCCCTCTGCCACGCCTTGAGATCCAGGAGGGCCTGGACTCATCCAAGTCACTCAGATGATGAGTGACTCCACGATGGCCAGAACATTTGGCACGTAGCAGGCACCAGGAAATGTCGGGTGAACTACTCACCCCCAAGTCCATCTTCCCCATCACTGGTGTGGAATTTGAGCAAGGCCTTGGCCACATCAATGCTTCTCTGGAGGTACTGAATGTAGTGCAGGACACGCAGCAGAATCTCCTTCTGCACCCCGAAGAAAGACAAGGTTGAGCACAAGAGTCAGGACTCAAGACAACATGAGACTGCAGGAGGCCAGAGACAGAGAGGATCCAGGACCCCAGGCCTCACCCCATCCCCAGCAATCCCTTAGCTGGCAGAGGCCTTCCAGTTCTGCTGTTTAGTCCTCACCATGGCCCAGTGTGACAGGGGTTACAGCTAAAGCAACTGAGGCTCAGAGTGCTAAAGGGACTTGCTAAGGCCGCAGAGATGAAGTGACAGAGCTGGAGTGTGAACCCAGGTCGGCCTGCCTCCTGGTCCAGTTTCTCAGCACACACTGCTCGGCTTCTCACCCCTCGCCCTTTGCTCATGCTGTATTCTCTATCTGCAAAGCCCTCCTCTTCTCCTCACAAACTCCCTCACCTGGCTTCTCCTTGGAGCCTCAGCATGGAGGTCTCCTCTTCCAGAAGCGTGCCCGCCTCCCTGACCCCTCTCACCCAGGCTTGCTCAGCTGTTCTCAGCACTCTTGTAACACCCTGGACCTATCTCCACCAAGGCACGGGCTGCACTGTTTTATAATTATCTGTTTACATGTTGGTCTCTCCCACTGACCTTGAACTAGTTGAGGGTGAGACTGTAGCTAACTGCCTTTTGTATCCCAAGCACACAGCACTGAGAAGTCGCTCAGCCAGGGACTGTCAAAGGAATGAATCTGCCCCACAGCACCGAGCACGATGCCTCCTACCCAGGATGCATCATCCACGCAGCCATTGAATACCACCTGCGCTGGGACTGGAGACAGGAAGCTAAAAACGACTGCTACTCACTAAGAGCCAGGTGTGCAGGGGCAAAGGAGACATGCTTTTGTTTGCCTTCATGGAGCTTATGATCTAGCATTAATAAACTCACAAATCATGCAGAAGTATCGACTGTGCAATAAGCATTATGAATAAAAGACTCTAACAAAGGATTCCAAAATTAGTGTTTGGAAAGGCCTCTCTGAGAAAGAAACTGAGACCTGGCATGGAAGGAGTTAGCCTGGGGAAAATATGAGGAAAGATCTCCAGGAAGTACTTTTTTGAATCAAACTGCATCCCTAGAATAACAATAAAACAGCAATGATCTTCCGAACCCCGAATCAGGAAACATGGTTTCATGAAGGGACTTAGGTGAAACTTCTGTAAAAGATGAGTCAGTCACTGGAATGATTTAGCATGATCCAAGGTAGGAAGCTTTAGTCTAACTCTGTAATCTAAGAAACGTGTGCCACAGCCAAGAGGACACTGGTTTTGAAGAACCTGGATCCAATCTGCCACTTACTGGCTGAGTATTGGCAGTAGGTCATTTTACTTCTTCGAGCCTCAGTTTTCTCATCCGTGTGATGGGAATGAGCATATCTATCAGGCTCAGAATATTATCATTAGAACTAAATATATTAGTGTGTGTGACATCGCTCAGAGCAGAGTCTGATACATTAGTTGTTGAATAAATGCTCTGTCAATGATTGAATGAGCCCACCTTCACCAATGTAATTCTCACCAATTTAATTCTTCACCATTTAATTCCCAAGGGGTTAAATGAGAAAAAGTACAGCTAGACCATGGTTTTTCAAGAGCGGATATTGTCTTTTTTAGCTTAGACTCTCCAATGCCAGGCTTGGCAAGTGTAAACTGTGAAGTATGTGTATGTCACTTTTTATTCACTAATATAAAGATTTTACGTAGAAGACAACTGGGCATCGTCCCAGATTGCAGGACAGAAGGCTCAGTTATTGAAACCTCAGGATGGTTAGCTTGGGAGCTACACCAGAAGACCTTTTGAAGGTAAGACTGGCAGGTCCTACACCTGTCACAACAGAGAGAATTCATTCAGTCATTCAACAAACATCTATTGAGCACTGAGTGACAGAGTGGCTGAAGGCACGGGGCTTCTGGAGTAAGACAGGTCTGACTCTCTTTTTCACTGCCATTACCCAGCTATTTGCCTCTGGGCAATGTGACCCCTGTCACATAAGTTTCTTCAAATTACAAAGTGAGGATACCCATACATCTTTCACAAATCTTGTGGGAAGATTAAATGGAAGATTAAAAGATAAAATGTACATAAGACACAGAGCACTCAGGGTCAAGCACACAGAATGCTTAAGAAGTTGGGAGCCATTGTTACTGTTATCCACTCTATGCTAGGTCCTGAGATCAAGGGGGACAGAGATTTATCGTTTGTGGTCCTTGCTCTCACAGAACTCTCCATCAAAAGGGGGCCAGAGCCTGGCTAGCTTACTCAGTAGAGTTTTTTTTTTCCGAGACAGTCTCACTCTGTTGCCCGGGCTAGAGTTCCATGGCGTCAGCCTAGCTCACAGCAACCTCAAACTCCTGGACTTAAGCGATCCTCTTGCCTCAGCCTCCTGAGTAGCTGGGACTACAGGCATGTACCAACCATGCCTGGCTATTTTTTTCTATATATTTTTAGTTGGCCAATTAATTTCTTTCTTTCTTTTTTTAGGAGAGACAGGGTCTTGCTCTTGCTCAGGCTGGTTTTGAACTTCTGACCTTCAGCGATCCGCCCGCCTCGGCCTCCCAGAGTGCTAGGATTACAGGCATGAGCCACCGCACCTGGCCAAGCATGAGACTCTTCAAGGGGGTTAGAAACAAGGACACAATCGAGGGCTGTGACAGTCAGAGGGAGAAGCCACAGGGTTATATGGGGCAGGGACAATAGCCAGGGTGGTGAGGAAGAGCGCCACGAACCTAAGCTGTATCCTAGGTCTCAAGCACAGAGCAGCAACAGCATAGCTCCCATTAGTTCACTGAGCACCAGACTGAGCTCTTCTCACAGCCCTGGGACTGGTTGTCGTGATTTTCTCCAGGCAGAGATGGGGCACGTGGGAGGCTGAGCACTGACTGGGACACAAGTAGTATGTGGAGAGGGGCCCACAACTGAACACAGAAAAAGATGAAGAGGGGAAGAAGAGGAGTCCTTATGGCAACAGAAGATAAAGGGTAAGAAAGCAGGCTGAGACCCCAGGAGAATTCCAAGAGATGTGGTCCTCTGGTCAGTTATGAAACGTTGCCTGTCCCCTGACTAGATTGCCATTCTTTGAGGGCAGGGGCTGTGTCCTGGTCATCTCTGCTCCCCAAGAGCCTATTACAAGGTCGGGCGCGGTGGCTCACGCCTGTAATCCTAGCACTCTGGGAGGCCGAGGCGGGCGGATTGCTCGAGGTCAGGAGTTCGAAACCAGCCTGAGCAAGAGCGAGACCCTGTCTCTCCTAAAAAAAGAAAGAAAGAAATTAATTGGCCAACTAATATATATATATATATAAAAATTAGCCGGGCATGGTGGCGCATGCCTGTAGTCCCAGCTACTTAGGAGGCTGAGGCAGCTGGATTGCTTGAGCCCAGGAGTTTGAGGTTGCTGTGAGCTAGGCTGACGCCACGGCACTCACTCTAGCCTGGGCAACAAAGCGAGACTCTGTCTCAAAAAAAAAAAAAAAAAAAAAGAGCCTATTACAGCACCTATGCACACCAAATCTCAAATTTCTCAACTATTTTTTAGCACCATGGTGGGCTGCATAATGCCTCCCGCTAAAGATGTCTATGTCTTAGTCCCCGGACCTAGTGATATGTTGCCTTATGTGACAAAGCAGACTTTGCAGCTGTGACTGAGTTAAGAATGGGGTGATGATTCTGAATTATCCAGGTGGAACCAATGTAATCACAAGGGTCTTTATAAGACCTGGTGGTTGATGGAATGTGGTGGCAGGGAAAAGGTCAGGATCAGTGTCCAGCAAATCTGTCCCAAACACCTACTCCTCTTGACCTCTCTAAAGGCAAGTGGCACATTCCAGCTGGGATTAGCTTTTCCTGTGTTCAAATCTTTATCTTCCTGACCAGACCCTGAGTTCCCAGGGGATGAGGACTGGGTCTCAGATTTCTTTGCCTCCCCTTGTTGCAACCAGAACAGCTTCTGGCATCCAAGAATCGTTCCATAAATGCCTGGTGAATGAATGAGTAAACGAATAAATGAGAGGAAATAATGAGAGCAAGATAACATCATACCGAGCCTTCAAGATACGAGTTCCGTATTAAGTTATCCCCACTGTGAGCAAGGTGTTAGCTTATTAGCAGGTACTCGGAAAAGGGAACTGACATTTATTCAGGACAACCACTATGTGCTGGGCCTGTCACAGCTATGTCATTTTGCTCTCACAATATTTCTCATAGCAGGAGTTATTTTTCCTTGTTTCCTATTTTTCCTTGTTTTACAGTTGAGAAACCTGAGGCTTGGAGAAGCTGGAGAGCCCTAGGAACCTGCCCAGAGCTCTGCAGCTGTGAAGACAGAGATGGAAACCCATGGCTGTTTGATTCCTAAACTGATGGTCTTTACCCTATGCCTTGTCTATTCTTCCCCTCCCAGTTCCCCTTGCTTCCTTTGCCAAAAAGAATCCCTCAGGCTTCTAGTCAAAGGACCACAGACTCCCAGAAATTCCTGCTCAGAACAGGACCAATAGTATCACTGGAAGGGTCTGTCTAAGTTTCCCAGAACAGGTTTACCCACCTTCTACTATATGAAGCCCTGCCTCCCTCCTTCAGTCTCCATACCTTGGTGAGCTTCTTGCTGCCAGTTTTCAGGGCCACAGGTAGCAGCAGTGCCAGCTCTTGCAGTTTGCTGGTGTGGTTTTTCCTTTGCTTCCTGTTTGGGGACAAGAGCTGGTTTTGGTCAGGACATCCAAAATCAAATGTAGCACTTGACCCCAAACCTCCTGTCTCAATGTTCCCCATCTCAGGGGTGCCCACCCCCTGTCCCCAACCCTGGGGCATCCAAGACTGAATCCCAGACATCATCTGGACTTGTCACTCTCCCTTACCCCCTTGACCCATCAGTCACCAAATCTTGCCCATTCCTCCTCTGTCCCATTCTCTTCATTCCCACAACCCCTGCCCTAGGTAATATCTTAACATCCTCTCAGGTCTCCAAGCACCACCACCTCCAATCTGGCCTCCCCTATCCATACTCTCTGGTAGAGTCAGGATGATTCTTCTGAAACACAAATGTGACCACATCACTCCCTTGTTTCAAACCTCTCAATGCCATCCCATTGTCAAGGATCAAGTTTAAACCCTTAATATGGCTCATAATGCCCATCATGGCCTGGCCTGGCTGACCATTCTGGCCTCATTTCTTACTTCCTTTGACTCTCTCATCAATTGACCCTTATTCCATAGGATGGGTAACGTACCTCTGCTAAGGTCCCCCAGTCCCTGTGCTTACACATGTCTCTGTCCCCTGTGCTGGGGTGTCAGCTGGGTGGGGGGAACCACTGTACTTCTAGCACCTAGACCAGGGTCTGGCACATTACAGGAACTCACTGAGTATTTGCTAAATGAATAAATAAATAAGGCATGAGAGAAGTTAACTCCTGGGCAGCTGCAGAACTGACAGGGCTTAACCTCTGAATTCATAATTCATAACACACCCATGCACACACACCTCCACCCCTCTCTCCTGACAGATGGAGACACAAAGATACTGAGTGCTTCTTCCAAATTACACACCACTGCCACGGCTCATGCGATTCCTTTGGGAATGCCTGAACACCTCTATTGCCACCAATCTTTAGCCCACTTTCCTTCAGGCCCCAGTTCAGTTGCCATCTTCCTTCCTTCCTCACTCTGAATCTTCCTCACAACACTTTGTTACCTGCAGCACAGTCACGCCAAAAGCACTCCCTTAATTACAGATGTATGTTTAGTTCTGACTCACGCCCATGAACTGATACCTCCTCTTTGCCAGGCCCTGTGCTGGACACCGCAAAAGGAAAGAAAAATCACTCAGTCACTGCCCTTGGGAGATGGGGGTGCAGTATGGGAGACACACTTACCTCCCTAACCAAACTCTAAATTCCTAAATGAATCTTTCTCATTCATTCAGCAATTGCTTTTTTTTCTTTTTGAGACAGACTTTCATTCTATCGCTCTGGGTAGAGTGCAGTGGCATCATTATAGCTCACAGCAACCTCAGACTCCTGGGCTCAAGTGATCCTCCTGCCTCAGCCTCCCAAGTAGCTGGGACTACAGGCACGTGCCACAATGCCCAGCTAATTTTTCTATTTTTAGTAGAGATGGGGTCTCCCTCTTGCTCAGGCTGGTCTTGAACTCCTGACCTCAAGCAATCCTCCTGCCTCGGCCTCCCAGAGTGCTGTGATTACAGGTGTGAGCCACCGTGCCTGGCCAGCAATTACTTATTAACCATCTACTATGTGCCAGGAACTGTGATAGGCAACAGGGATTAAAATACAAAAAACAAGGGCCAGGTACAGTGGCTCACGCCTGTAATCCTAGCACTCTCAGGGGCTAAAGTGGGTGGATCATTTGAGCTAAGGAATTCGAGACCAGTCTGAGCAAGAGCGAGACCCCCTATCTACTAAAAATATAGAAAGAAATTAGCTGGACAACTAAAAATATATAGAAAAAATTAGCCGGGCATGGTGGTGCATGCTGTAGTCCCAGCTACTCAGGAGGCTGAGGCAGGAGGATGGCTTGAGCCCAGGAGTTTGAGGTTGCTGTGAGCGAGGCTGATGCCATAGCACTCTAGCCCAAGCAACAGAGCGAGACTCTGTTGCAAAAATAAAACACAAAAAAACTGGAGTGCCTGGAGCCCAGAAAGCAAGGAGCCCTGTGGGGTGAGAAAGGCCAGAGAAGGATACAGGGCGCAGATGGGGCAAGGCCTTGTAGGCCCATAGTACCTAGGCATTTTGCCTTTATCCTGATCAATGGGAAGCCATTAAAGGACTTTACATATTAGTCCCCTCAAAACCTTTATGAACACAGGAGACCATATGTATTAGACAACTGAATGAAGGAATGAAAGAAAAAAAATCACCAATTGGTTTTCAAATTACCTTCTGGTAGAAACCATAACTATGAGGGGAAGGGGTGATGGGGTTCTATCTTTGGAGAAAAATTGAGTAGGCTGACCTCTAGAGTCCTGATATTTATCTTTTGCATGGCGCTTTCCTTCTGTTCTAGAGGAGCCCTTAGAAGCCTCAATGAGGAACAACACAAGAAGCAAGGGAAAAAAGCATCCAGGTCTATTTATAAAGTTCAAGGTGTTACTTGACCCTATCTAAGAGGATTTCATATCAACTGTAGTCCCTGGGCATTTACTCTGAGTTTTACAAAGCACCAGGAGAGCCTTCTGGGCAAACACAGAAGCTAGGGGAAAAAAATCTGGAGGGAGAAAAAGAGTGACCAGAAATCTCCAAATCTTGCCAGTAGTCCTGAAGAGGTACAACCTGGGCTCTGCTTCCAGGAGCCTCCAGGAGCGAGGTCCTCCCTCCCAAGGCTACCTCTTTCTTTGCTGGATGGTTCTGGTTTTAGCTCATTTCTTTCCTCACAGTCTATCATTTCCACCCACTAATCCCAGCTCTGCCTTCTGGTCTGCAGGGAATAGGTCAAGCTTCAGCTGCATGTGACCTCTTGCTGTTTCTCTAAACTGCCAAGTTTATTTCTGCCATAGGGCCTTTACTATTCCCTCTGCCTGGAATGTTCTTTCACCTTGATTTTTGCATGGCTAGTTTCCTCTTTGCCATTCAGCATTTCGCTTAAATGTGATCTAAAGTCTCTAAAGAGACTTTCCTGACCACCTAATCTAAATAAGCACATTCTTTTATCAGCATCTGAAATCTTGTTTCTTTAATTGTTTATTATACACTCCACGAGGGCAAGGATTTTTGTCTTTATTTACTGCTATTTCTCAGGCTGACTTGTCCATAGGTGCAGTGCCTCAGACCTGTGATACTTTTAGGGGCTCATAAAAATGTTTAATTTCTTTTAAATTAGAAGGAAAAATGAGTATAATCCAATCTTTATTATACTTGTCTTTATATCCTGCTATCATAAACTATAATTTTTAATTTGTTTGTGGGGAGGAAGGGGATCAAGAAGATAAAATTGCCTAGAATGGAGCCCCGGATATATCCCTAATTCCTAGAATAATGCCTGGCACTTAGTAGGTGCTCAATAAAAAATTGTTGAATTAATGAATGCTGCTTCTGTCTTTCGATGGCCTCTCAGCCTTTTGAAGTGGCAAATGAATCTACTTCCTGAGTTTTCTCTTCTCTGAGCTAAGCAGCCTGAACACATCCTAGCTACTTTATTTTACAGGAGCTGGAAAGAGCCCTGTTTAAATTTCTCATTCCCAAAAGCCAGTTTAAATTTTTCATATTAGATATGGAAAAACTGGCCAGGTGGCTCATGCCTGTAAACCTAGCACTCTGGGAGGCTGAGACGGGAGGATTGCTCAAGGTCAGGAAGTTCAAAACCAGCCTGAGCAAGAGCAAGACCCTGTCTCTACTAAAAATAGAAAGAAATTAGCTGGATAACTAAAAATATATATAGAAAAAATTAGCTGGGTGTCATGGCGCATGCGTGTAGTCCAATCTCCTTAGTAGGCTGAGGCAGGAGGATCGCTTGAGCCCAGGAGTTTAAGGTTGCTGTGAGCTATGATGATGCCACGGTACTCTACTCTAGGAAACAGAGCGAAGACTCTGTCTCAAAAAAAAAACCAAAAAAAAATCCTGGCTCTGCCACTTGCTGTGTGACTTTGGACAAGTGTTTTCATCTCTCTGAGCCTGTTTTTATCTTCATTTGTAAAATGGAGGTGGCTGGAAAATTTTGATCTTGTGTAGAGGGTGTTTAGCATAGTACTTGGTACATAGGGAGTGTTCATGAAATGTTAGTTCAAGACAGAAGATGGACAGTCATTTGTCAGGATTATTTAGGGGTAAGGAATATTTGAAAATTGGGTAGAAGTATAGTATTGAATGACTATGGTTGATAACTGTATTTTTTGTTTGATCGACATCCAATTCCCCCTTTTTTTGGTAATAGCACCCAGATTTTTCTTTGGGCAACCACTTCTCCACTCTTAGTCTGTATGGTTCAGAAAGGCCCACTGTATCTTTCCCTTCCACTAGGAACACAGAACCAAGATCCAGCCAAGAATAGTCACAGTAATTGGCTCAGGGCTGGGGTGTTAACTTGGGGTTTGGGCAATCAGAGTCAATCAATCTTAGAAGCTCTTTCTGCTGGGGGGTGTCAAGCTTGCAAGATATGGACCTGGAGCTGCTGGGAGCCTTCTTGCCCTCCCCAAGGGAGAGCCTGCTAAAAACGAAGCCAATACAGACAACAGCAGAGCTAAGAGAGGCAGATTCCTGATAACATCATTTAACCCCAACCCTGGAACCAACTTGACACCCCTGAGTTTTTTGTTTAAATGATCCAATAAATCCCCTTTTATGCTTAAGCCAGTTTTAGCTAGGTTTCCATTAATTGCAACTAAGAGTCTTTATTAATACAAGGAGCCTCATATCTAGAAAGGAGAGAAAGACAAATTGTTGGTGACTTCTGGGATTCTAGCAGAAATGGACAGCAGTGCAGACATTCTTCATTTCCTTCCTGGTGCTTGTTCTGAGCACAGTACCTAAGTAGACAACCTGAACAAAGTACAGACAGTCTCCAACTAGGAACGGTTCCACTTACATTAATTCAGCTTACAATTTTTCAGCTTTATGGTGGTGTGAAAGCAATACAAAATACAAATTCAATAGAAACTGTACTTCTTTCACGATACTGGGCAGTGACAGCAAGCCATAGCTCTCAGTCAGCCATGTATTTTTGATTTACCATATTTTCAACTTATGATGATGGGTTTATCAGGACAGAACCCCATCATAAGTCGAGGAACATCTATAGATACTTAATTTTAGAGTTAATGAATGAAAAGATGGCTAGATGCAAAGCCATTGGGGGAGATGGTAGGAGAAAAGATGAACTTTGGCTATTTTTTTTTTAATTTATCCAGACTTTGGAGGGAGGAAGAAATCAGGTCCAACCCTCAATTTGTCTGAAAATCCCCTCTGTAAGATTCCTAACACCTGGTAGGTGCTTGATGGATGGATGAATGAGTGAATAAAAGAAAGAAAGGGCATTTAATAAACTCAGAATGTCAAAGCCTTCATGGACCTTAGAAATGACCTTTGCCAATCACCTCAGAGTTCTGTCATCTGAAAAATGGTGACTATTAGTACCCACTTCCTCGCGGGGTTGTTGTAAGGACAAACACATATACAAACAAAGGGTTTAACAAAGAATCCAGTAATATTGTTATATTATTATTCAATCAGAATGGCTGGAGCTATGAGGGAGATAGGAGGAGTCCTTACCTGTCACTGGGACTCAGTGAACTGGCTCTGGGCTGTTCAGGGGAACACAAGTCTCTGCTGGAACCCCACATCTGCAAATAAGGGGAAAAATGATTAGTAACCTCTGGGATTCCAGGAATAATGGGCAGCCTGATGAGTACCCTTCATTTTCCCCATGATGCTCCTTTGAGCCCACAGAGATCTAACCCAAATAGAGTCTCCAACTCCCCAAAATATAGGCCCAGAGACCCAAATTAAAATCTCAAACCTCTAAACTGAAATCTATGAATCCCAGATTTTAAATCTGAGCCCCTACCTACATCATGATCCAGACCTAAAACAAAAACCAGCAAATCCCCAAACTTTGACTTCAAAACTCAGACCTTCCCAAGAGGAAGACTCTGAAATGAAGACTTATAGGCCTGAAAACTGTGGATTGAGACCTCTAGACTGTGATATTAAAACACTAAAACTATGACGTTAAATTCCTAAAGTGAGGACCTAGAATCCAAAAAAGCTCTCAAATCTACAAATCCTAAACTCTAATACTGAGCTACCCTAGACGCCCAGACAGTCAACTTTTGATCCCCAAATATGACCCCAATCCTACTAATAAGATCATACACCACAAAACTTAACAATGAGAATCCAAATCCTAAAGTAAGAAATCCAGGCCCCTGCAAAGCCAACCTCAGTCCCCAAAATAGACCTCAGATCCTACAATGAAGATTGTAGGATTGTAACCCCTAAACTGTTACTTCAGACCCTCAAATTGTGAACCCAACCCTAAAAACTGAGATCTCACACATGAGTCCCATTCTGAAACCCCAGATCCTAGGATTGAAGCCCCCTTACTCAATGTGGAGACTCCAGGCCCTACAATTTAATTCTCAAAGACCCAAACTGTGAGTCCAGACCCTAAATCTCATACCTTATTATACTCTACATTGGGATTTTGGGCCCTAAATCTGTACTGAAGCTTCAACGGCCCCAAATAAGACCCAGAACCCCAAAATGATACTCCAGAACTCAGAACTAAGACTTCCAAATCCCCAAATTAGGATCTCTGGATTCTAAGAGGAAAGCTTCCAGTCACAAAACCCAAGACCTTCAGATTCCAAAACTAGTTACCTATGGACACAAATCGTGAGACCCCCAGATCGTAACCTGAGAACCCGGATCCCCAGTGCTACTCAACCCCGGCCTTCTGCAGATCAAACTTCAGCCCGGATCCCCAAACCAAGGCCCAGCCTCAAACCCAAACTCCAACCCTGCTGCCCAGGCTCTGCCACACTGAGGCCCTGCCTCACACACGGCCCGCACCCAGAGCATGTTGGCCCTCCTGTCCCCTCCAACCCCCAGAGGGAGGCCGCGGCCACAAAGTGCCACTCTTGTGGGGACTCCAGGCTCTCCTCAGGCCAGCTGGTGCTGGGGGAGTCCCCCGCCCCATTCCCCTCAGCCTCCAACACCCGCCTCAGGACGTGCAAAACGTTGCGAGGCGGGCCCCCTTCTAGTTTCGCGCCCCCCACACTGATCAGACAGTGCCTCGCGCGGGTCCGGGGCTGCGCGCGGGAGCTCCAGGCCACCTTCTTCCACGTTCCCAACCCGGGCTTGGTATGGATGCGAATCCTTTGAGCGCGAAGATCCCTCTGCGAGGCCTGAGGAGCCGAGCAAGAGGGCGTTCTGGAAGCCACGCCACGCCCCCACCAGTTCCAGTCACAGTGTGCTGGGCGTGAGACTGGAAAGGGTTGAAAGGGCAGGGTGCAAGTGGGCGTGCGCACGCGCGCCTGGAAAGAGCCCTGTCCTCTTGCACAGCCGGAGCTGAGCCTCGCGCCTGTTGGCGCGCGCCAAAGTGCCGACCAATCAGCGCTCGCTCAGCTACCCGCCTTTTTCGCTGACCACTCCCCCCTTATAGGCCCCTTGAGATTCCCAGGTCCAGAGCCCTTGGGTCCTGAGAAAGAGGCGGGGTCTCTCCAACTGCCAAATGCCAGGAAGAAAGAGAGAGTTCGGCTGTCTGTCTCCCTTCTGGCCCCCGCGTACCCCATTTCCACCTTTTCTCTTCAATGCCATATTTAATGAAGGCCTACTGTGTGCCAAGCACCATGCTCGACACTGGGAACTTAGCCACTGTCTTCCCAGTGCATTCCAGAAGGCTCACAGACCATGCAAATCTAATGAGGAAGGAGCTTCATTAATGCAGAGAACTTACAATAAATTGGGAAAGGAACTCAAAACCAAGGGCCATTTGAATTGAACCTTAATAGCAGTTCTTCTCAGGAAGATGTAAGCAAACTGTACATTTTGGAAAGCTCATTCTCATAGCCTATGAGGAGGATGAACTGGAAAATATATCTTAAGGGGAGGGTGACCTAATGACATAGTCGAGAGTAGAAGACCTAGAGTCTGGTCCAGTGAGATGGCTCACACCTGTAATCCTAGCAGTCTGGGAGGCAGAGGTGTGCGGATCGTTTGGGCCCAGGAGTTAGAGACCAGCCTGGGCAAGAGCGAGACCCCTGTCTCTAAAACACGTTTTAAAAGTAAATCATATGAAATATCTAAAAAAAAAGAAGACCTGGAGTCCAACACATTTTGGTTGAGATCACTTTCTTGGCTGTGTTGCCATGGACAAGAAGCTTAATCTCTTTCTGCCTTATAAATTTGGGATGATAATTCTTCCGAGGGTTGTCAGCAGGATGTCTGGCATATATATGGCTCCCATGCAATAAATACTCAATCCATATTTACACTGTTGTAGGTCTTAGAACAAGGAACATACACAAAGACCCCTTTCTTCATGGAGCTTCAAGTCTAACTATGATGTGACTTGTACATGAGCTTTCCTCCTTTTCCTCCCTCCCAAGGCTTAATATCTTCATTTGTAAATTAGGCGGTAGTAGAAGGTAAGAAGAGGGATAAGAGGAATGGATGGGAAAGTGTTTGGAAAAGTATAGACACTGATAATTATTGTGTTAATCGGCATAAATAAATCAATAAAGTTGCTCTTCCCCAACACTCCACCCTTCACCAACGCCCCTTTGCAATTTTCTCAATTTCCCTTACAAGGGCCCCAGGCCAAAATGGAGGAAGCTGGACTCCATCTCCCAGCGCGCCTCGCGGGAGAGCTCTCTGCGCCTGCGCCGGCAAGTGTCCATGTTGCCTCCTGGGAATTAGAGTCAATCTTTTCCTCAGTCCGCCTAGTTTGCCTCCTACCGTATTTCCTCGAAAATAAGGCAGATCTTATATTTATTTTTCCTCAAGAAGACACCCTAGGGCTTATTTTCAGGGGATGTGTTATTTTCCCCTCAAAGCCTCAGCTCGCAGCACGCACAGGATGGCTGGGACCTGACAGGGGGAGCCGACCTTTTTGTTGGGGCTGACCGCACCTTTTCGGTCACCTATGGGATAATAACCCTCACTATGGGGCAGATGAAAAGGGCTGCTCGTCTTCTGCTCCGCGACGAAATGCATGGGTTGGCTGCGTACCCACGCTCATCACTAGGTCTTATTTTCGGAGTACGGCTTATATTGCGCAAATGCTTAGAAATCCTCTTAGGGCTTATTTTATGGGTAGGTCTTATTTTCGGGGAAACACGGTACCTCACCGCCAAGGTTTGATCGCGCTGCCTTCTGGGAGGTGTAGTCCATGGTCCCTCGGACTTCAATTCCCAGCGGGCCTCGGGGCGAGAACCCGGAAGGGGCGGCTGGAGAGGACCGAGTGGGGGAAACCCGCGCAGCCGAGGGAGGTGCAGCGCGGGGCGATGGTGAGAGCCCCAGGCGGGGGCGGGGGGCGCTTGCGTGTCGGGACAGGGGTTCGGGACCTGGTGAAGAGAGGGAAGAGACGGGGGCTAAAGAAGGGGTTGGGCGAGGGGAGATCGCCTGGGGGTGGCGATTGGGAAGAATGGGAGCCGGAGGTAGTAGTAGAATGGGGGCTGGGGAGGGGTATTGTAGGTGGGGAGGGAGTTGAGCTTTGGGATTGATTCTAAGCGGGTCAGTGCAGGGCAAAAGGATCCCGAGTTGGAGATGAGGCTGGACGTCCAGGCAGAGGCTCTGAAGAGGTCAGTTTCGAGGGATTTAGCCTGAGGGATGTGGAAAGATATGGGGGTCAGGGCTAGATGAGTGAGGGGGTTTCTAGGCTCCAAGGGAATGGCCAACTGTGGATGCGATGGGTTGGAGCCTCTGGATCGCATTGGGTCGGGAAGGCAAGTTGAGGAGTGGGAGAGAGAAATCGATGGTAGGATAGAGTGTGGGTTAGGTTCCAAGACTGAGGGTGAGGTGAGGAGCATGAAATTAGGGGCCTGGATGTAGATAGTTTGCCTAGTCCAGGCGGAGACTCCTGATAAGCTGGACAGTCACAGAACTGTAGTGATGTGGCTAGAAAGGGCCATACAGACAACCTTTTGCATCTTCACTTCCCCACTGGAATTTAGAAGAGTGTAGTGGTTTATCTGTGTGAACAGTACAGCATTCAGATTCCTTATTCTGCCACTCCTTTGTGACCTGGGCAAGTCTCTCTCTGAGCCTCATTGCCCTTATCTATGGTGTGGGAACAACAAGCATATTGCTGCGAAGAGAGCTGAACCGAGGCTCATTAAAATTGTTACCGTTGGCTCGCTTGAGGTCTGGAGTTCCCTTGAGGTCAGGAGTTTAAGACCAGCTTGAGCAAGCGTGAGACCCCCGTCTCTACTAAATATAGAAAAAATTAGCTGCGTGTTTTGGTGAAGGCTTGTTGTCCCAGCTATTGGAGAGGCTGAGGCATGATGATCACTTGAGCCGAGGAGTTTGAGGTTGCAGTGAGCTATGATGACGCCATTGCACTCTGGCCTAGGTGACCAAGTCTGTCTCAAAAAAGAAAAAAAAAATTGTTACTGTTAGTAGGAGAGACAAGCTGCCAAGTGTCAGTCTCAGAGCTGTTGATGGGAAGTACCCAACCCTAGGAATGTGACTGGGTTGCAGGTGCTAATGGATTCCCTCCTTTTCATTCCAGTTCCAGGGATGATTTCTTCAAACCTGGCACTGATTTGGGCACACCCCAACTCAGAAGCATGTAGGGGCTCCCCACAGTTGATCACAACTAACACTTACTGTTTTACAAAACGCTTGGCCCTATTCTTAGCTGTTTGTGCGTATTAATTCATTTAACCCTGAAGACACCCCCAAGATGTAGGTGCTGTTATTATCTCCATTTTACAGAAAGGAAGCAGAGGCACAAAGAAGTTTAGCAACTTTCCCAAGGTCATCCAGTATTAAATGGTAGACTCAGACTCCAATCCTGGCAGCTTGGCTTAGTATCTGTGCCTTCACCACTGTTATCTAGTCTCCTCTGCTTGTACTGAAGTACAACTGGGTATGGCCAAAGACCAAAGCAGTCTTCAGTTAGAATTTTAGTTCTGCCATTTACTTGCTGTATAACCTTGGTCAAGTCTTTTGGCCTCTCTTCACCTATAAAATGGGATCAGTAACCCTAAAAAGGTGAGAAGCTTCAGGGGAGACTAGTTCATGTAAAGTGCTTGGAGGCAATGCTCAGTACATGTGAGTTGTGGTTTTTGAACATGGATGGGAAACTGCGAGAAGGCAGTAGAGAGGGACCAGTAAGAGAAGCATCAGCCAGGTGCCAGGCTATCTCCTGTTCTTCCTCTTCCACGTTGCCCCCATATCCTGGCCCTTCTTGTTCCCTACCTTCTACCCCTGGGCTCTTAAATCCAACTATGACTCCCAGGGAAGGTGCTTAGAAACTCAGTCTGTCCCCCATTCCTGACTCCAGCCAGATACAAATAATTCATTAGCTAAAGCTCAGCCTGGCCTAACTCCAGGTGTTTCAGTGACTAGCAAATATTTCTAACTGGGTTCTTTTGCTTTTGTTCTAAACTTTTGATCATTTGGGCCTCATTGCACACTTTGGCAACTTTGCGGATTACGTCGAACAGTTTGGTTCATTTGCTGTGAGCCTTTAGGAGTTATTGTGTAAATGCTAAGTTCAGTGACTCTGATAGTAAAGCTTATGGTTAAAAGCACTGGCTTCAGATGGGCCCAGGTTCAAGTCCCCGCCTCTGTTGCTGTGTGTCCTTGGCCAAGGTACACTCCCACTCTGGGCCTCAGTTTTCTCATACGTAAAATGGGACTACATTCAAATCATGAGGTTCTAAGGAGTTGATAAGGTAACATATATAAAATGCCTGGGGTATATTAAGCTCTCAGTAATTGTGAGATGCTTATGTGATTTTTATTCTTTAAGAAAAATGTATTTGAGCACGAACTCTGGAGCCAGAGCGCTTGGGTTTGAATCCTGGCTTCATGTCTTACCAGCTCTGTGGATGTAGATAGTTTGATAGTTTGGGCAAGTCACTTAACCCCTTTGGACCTCAGTTTCCTCTTCTAGAAAATGGGGGTTTATTCTTTAAGTAGTTTACAAATATTAAACAAAGCACCTACTATGTGCCAGGGCGTGGGTGCAGACTCCAACCTGCTCTTGGAGCAGGCAGGCGACAGTGCTCACTGTTGTCATAATGTTGGGGCATTTCTGCAACTCCGGGAGCATTTGTGCTCATTTTTCAGGTTTGGGTTTCTCTATTCCTGATTCATTTTCAGTCCCTTATGTCAGCTTTGCCTGCTTGTCATTGCTTTCATGGATTTTTAACATCCTGTCTCCTGCTCTCATCTGTCTCAGATAAGTCTCGTTGACTTATCTGAAAACCTATTGGTTTGGGGGAAAGTTGCCAATCTCTCATTTGTCCCCATTCCTGTATGTCACATCTGGGTGCCCCGGGATAATTTGAC